ACCATAACTGTATACACTGACCCAAAACTAACCATAACTGTATACACTGACCCAAAACTAACCATAACTGTATACACTGACCCAAAACTAACCATAACTGTATACACTGACCCAAAACTAACCATAACTGTACCACTGACCCAAAACTAACCATAACTGTATACACTGACCCAAAACTAACCATAACTGTATACACTGACCCAAAACTAACCATAACTGTATACACTGACCCAAAACTAACCATAACTGTAACACTGACCCAAAACTAACCATAACTGTATACACTGACCCAAAACTAACCATAACTGTACACTGACCCAAAACTAACCATAACTGTATACACTGACCCAAAACTAACCATAACTGTATACACTGACCCAAAACTAACCATAACTGTATACACTGACCCAAAACTAACCATAACTGTATACACTGACCCAAAACTAACCATAACTGTATACACTGACCCAAAACTAACCATAACTGTATACACTGACCCAAAACTAACCATAACTGTACACTGACCCAAAACTAACCATAACTGTATACACTGACCCAAAACTAACCATAACTGTATACACATGACCCAAAACTAACCATAACTGTATACACTGACCCAAAACTAACCATAACTGTATACACTGACCCAAAACTAACCATAACTGTATACACTGACCCAAAACTAACCATAACTGTATACACTGACCCAAAACTAACCATAACTGTACACTGACCCAAAACTAACCATAACTGTATACACTGACCCAAAACTAACCATAACTGTACACTGACCCAAAACTAACCATAACTGTATACACTGACCCAAAACTAACCATAACTGTAACTGTACACTGACCCAAAACTAACCATAACTGTATACACTGACCCAAAACTAACCCATAACTGTACACTGACCCAAAACTAACCATAACTGTATACACTGACCCAAAACTAACCATAACTGTATACACTGACCCAAAACTAACCATAACTGTATACACTGACCCAAAACTAACCATAACTGTACACTGACCCAAAACTAACCATAACTGTATACACTGACCCAAAACTAACCATAACTGTACACTGACCCAAAACTAACCAAACTGTACACTGACCCAAAACTAACCATAACTGTACACTGACCAAACTACCAACTGTAAAACTAACCATAACTGTATACACTGACCCAAAACTAACCATAACTGTATACACTGACCCAAAACTAACCTAACATACTGTAACACTGACCCAAAACTAACCATAACTGTTACACTGACCCAAAACTAACCATAACTGTACACTGACCCAAACTAACCATAACTGTATACACTGACCCAAAACTAACCATAACTGTACACTGACCCAAAACTAACCATAACTGTATACACTGACCCAAAACTAACCATAACTGTATACACTGACCCAAAACTAACCATAACTGTATACACTGACCCAAAACTAACCATAACTGTACACTGACCCAAAACTAACCATAACTGTATACACTGACCCAAAACTAACCATAACTGTATACACTGACCCAAAACTAACCATAACTGTATACACTGACCCAAAACTAACCATAACTGTATACACTGACCCAAAACTAACCATAACTGTATACACTGACCCAAAACTAACCATAACTGTATACACTGACCCAAAACTAACCATAACTGTATACACTGACCCAAAACTAACCATAACTGTATACACTGACCCAAAACTAACCATAACTGTATACACTGACCCAAAACTAACCATAACTGTATACACTGACCCAAAACTAACCATAACTGTATACACTGACCCAAAACTAACCATAACTGTATACACTGACCCAAAACTAACCATAACTGTACACACTGACCCAAAACTAACCATAACTGTATACACTGACCCAAAACTAACCATAACTGTATACACTGACCCAAAACTAACCAACTGTACATACACACTGACATGCCAAAACTAACCATAACTGTACACACTGACCCAAAACTAACCATAACTGTATACACTGACCCAAAACTAACCATAACTGTATACACTGACCCAAAACTAACCATAACGTACACTGACCCAAAACTAACCATAACTGTACACTGACCCAAAACTAACCATAACTGTATACACTGACCCAAAACTAACCATAACTGTATACACTGACCCAAAACTAACCATAACTGTATACACTGACCCAAAACTAACCATAACTGTATACACTGACCCAAAACTAACCATAACTGTATACACTGACCCAAAACTAACCATAACTGTATACACACTGACCCAAAACTAACCATAACTGTACACACTGACCCAAAACTAACCATAACTGTATACACTGACCCAAAACTAACCATAACTGTATACACTGACCCAAAACTAACCATAACTGTACACTGACCCAAAACTAACCATAACTGTATACACTGACCCAAAACTAACCATAACTGTATACACTGACCCAAAACTAACCATAACTGTACACACTGACCCAAAACTAACCATAACTGTATACACTGACCCAAAACTAACCATAACTGTATACACTGACCCAAAACTAACCATAACTGTACACTGACCCAAAACTAACCATAACTGTACACTGACCCAAAACTAACCATAACTGTATACACTGACCCAAAACTAACCATAACTGTATACACTGACCCAAAACTAACCATAACTGTACACTGACCCATCCCCACAGAACCTGCAACAGGGATCCTTTTCTATCTGCCATTTGAACAGAGATTTTTTTGTTGCAATAATTTTATAAAAGATTTTAAGTTGAAATATCCTGGAATATGAATCTATTGTAGTTCTATAAATTGTTCTAAAGTAATCTTTCCACAAAATTGGATCATTGAATTCATCTTCCCTAAACAGGCAGATTCTGTGTGGAAAAAGTGCGGTGCCTGTGATATTTACATTCCACATATATATTATTTATTTATTTTGGCACCAGGCAGCCATTTTGGGCATCTTATTATTGGGAGACAAACCATCAACTTATTCTTCCTACAATTTTGCAATTTTCTTTTCCAAGTTTTAGGAATTGCAGAAATCAGCTGGTTGTATTGTAGCTCATCGAGAGAAATGGTAAAAGATCTTTTCAAATTTTCATAAGAAATCAAATCTCCAGATAAATCTAAAAGGTCATTGACAAAAATTAACCCATTTTTAACACATTCCTCCCACAACAATGGTTTATCTCCAACAGTAATGTTTGAATTCATCCAAAGCAACTGTGTCTGAATATCTTGAGCTGTATCTGGAGGATGATACTGGAAATTCAACCAAGCTTTCAATGCATCCTTGAAGAATGGTGATAACTCTTTTAAACTATTTTGAAATAGTTTATCAATATGTATTGTTTTTAATTGGTAAAAAGGAAATATATTGTTCGAGAAGAAGGAAAAGGCTGAATATAATCTCTGGGTCGTAATCCACTTTTCATTATGATACATTTTAGCAACCCAGGAGGCCTTCAAGGAACAGTCCATCATTTGAAGATTTTTTAAATTCAGTCCGCCATTATCATAAGAATTATATAGATACTGCCTTTTAATTTGAAAATTTTCTGTTCAAAGTGTTTGAAGAACTTAATGCTAGGTGAAGGAAGAAGCATTAGTAGGTGGACAAATTGTGGAATTACTAATGTATTAATCAACGTTACTTTCCCTTGAATTGTCAGAAAGTTCCCCCTCCAAGGTTGTAAAATTCTATCTACCTTTTCCATCCTTCTCTCATAATTGTATTTAACAACTTCGAATAAATTCACATTTATTTGTATAACACAGTTCACAGAAACCCACACATCTCCCCTTTGGTACAAACGTCAGTTCACTTTGTCACCACTGGATGGCGCCAAACATCGATTAAAAACAGACTCGAAGGTTTTAAATACACGTTTTACTGAAGAATCCAAACAACTTTAAAAACAATTATATTACAATCATCGAGGTTTGTTCTTTGTGCAAAGTTACTGCAGGAAACTTTTCCAGAATAAAAATCTAAAATTGTTTGTTAGCATGGTAAGATGTTAGCATGATGACGCTAAATTAATGTGTGACTTCTGAGTGAAAACTTCCATTCATTGATTTAGTGGTAAAATCATAAAATTAGTTTTAATACTGCCACAAAAACCTCTGAGATCAAAGAGATTACAGTCGTAAACATTTGAGATCAAAGAGATTACAGTCGTAAACATTTGAGATCAAAGAGATTACAGTCGTAAACATTTGAGATCAAAGAGATTACAGTCGTAAACATTTGAGATCAAAGAGATTACAGTCGTAAACATTTGAGATCAAAGAGATTACAGTCTGGATTAAACCAGTGCCACAGTGCATAAAACCATAGGGCCTCTCTCCCCTGGTCCCTCTCTCCCCTGGTCTCTCTCTCCCCTGGTCCCTCTCTCCCCTGGTCCCCCTCTCCCCTGGTCCCTCTCCCCTGGTCCCTCTCTCCCCTGGTCCTCTCCCCTGGTCTCTCTCTCCCCTGGTCCCTCTCTCCCCTGGTCCCTCTCTCCCCTGGTCCCTCTCTCCCCTGGTCCCTCTCTCCCCTGGTCTCTCTCTCCCCTGATCCTCTCCCCTGGTCCCTCTCTCCCCTGGTCCCTCTCTCCCCCTGGTCCCTCTCTCCCCTGGTCCCTCTCTCCCCTGGTCCCTCTCTCCCCTGGTCTCTCTCCCCTGGTCCCTCTCTCCCCTGGTCCCTCTCTCCCCTGGTTCCTCTCTCCCCTGGTCCCTCTCTCCCCTGGTCTCTCTCCCCTGGTCCCTCTCTCCCCTGGTCCCTCTCTCCCCTGGTCTCTCTCCCCTGGTCCCTCTCTCCCCTGGTCCCTCTCTCCCCTGGTCTCTCTCCCCTGGTCCCTCTCTCCCCTGGTCTCTCTCTCCCCTGGTCCCTCTCTCCCCTGGTCCCTCTCTCCCCTGGTCCCTCTCTCCCCTGGTCTCTCTCTCCCCTGGTCCCTCTCTCCCCTGGTCCCTCTCTCCCCTGGTCTACAGTCCCTTCTGGTCCGGGATGCTGATGGTTAGGGGAGTGAGGCTGGTGAGGAGGGTGTGCCGCTGGTACTGTTGGGTTTGTCTGAACTTGGTGTCGGTTCTGTGCAGACGGTCCAGGATCCCCAACACGCCATAGCACTGGTTAAACCTGGGGTCAGAGGTTACACCAGAGGTCAGAGGTTACACCAGAGGTCAGAGGTGTGTGTGTGTCAGACCTGAGGTGGTGGTAGTCGTGGAACTCGGGGGAGGGCAGCAGGGGGAGGTGGTATCCGCAGTGAGAGACTGTTGTACTGATCAGAGCCAAACACAGCCACAGACCCATGGTACTGACATGGGACCCCAGGAGGACCGGACCCAGGACCACCGGGAACATGTTGGAGACCTGGGAGAGACCGGAGAGAGACCGGAGAGAGACACGTCAGAGACCGGAGAGAGACCGGAGAGAGACCGGAGAGAGACCGGAGAGAGACCAGAGAAAGACCAGAGAGAGACCGGAGAGAGACCGGAGAGAGACACGTCAGAGACCGGAGAGAGAGACCGGAGAGAGACACGTCAGAGACCGGAGAGAGACCGGAGAGAGACCAGAGAGAGACCGGAGAGAGACCAGAGAGAGACCAGAGAGAGACCAGAGAGAGACCAGAGAGAGACCAGAGAGAGACCAGAGAGAGACCAGAGAGAGACCAGAGAGAGACCAGAGAGAGAACGGAGAGAGACCAGAGAGAGAACGGAGAGAGACCAGAGAGAGACCAGAGAGAGACCAGAGAGAGACCAGAGAGAGACCAGAGAGAGACCAGAGAGAGACCAGAGAGAGAGAGACCAGAGTGAGACCAGAGAGAGACCAGAGAGAGACCAGAGAGAGACCAGAGAGAGACCAGAGAGAGACCAGAGAGAGACCAGAGAGAGACCAGAGAGAGACCAGAGAGAGACCAGAGAGAGACCAGAGAGAGACCAGAGAGAGAGACCGGAGAGAGACCAGAGAGAGAGACCGGAGAGAGGCCAGAGAGAGACCAGAGAGAGACATGTCAGAGACCGGAGAGAGACCAGAGAGAGACCAGAGAGAGACCAGAGAGAGAGACCGGAGAGAGACCAGAGAGAGACCAGAGAGAGAGACCGGAGAGAGACATGTCAGAGACCAGAGAGAGACCAGAGAGAGACCAGAGAGAGACCAGAGAGAGAGACCGGAGAGAGACCAGAGAGAGAGACCGGAGAGAGACATGTCAGAGACCGGAGAGAGACCAGAGAGAGACCAGAGAGAGACCAGAGAGAGAGACCGGAGAGAGACCAGAGAGAGACCAGAGAGAGAGACCGGAGAGAGACATGTCAGAGACCGGAGAGAGACCGGAGAGAGACCAGAGAGAGACCAGAGAGAGACCAGAGAGAGACCAGAGAGAGAACGGAGAGAGACCAGAGAGAGACCGGAGAGAGACCAGAGAGAGACCAGAGAGAGACCAGAGAGAGAGACCAGAGTGAGACCAGAGAGAGACCAGAGAGAGAGACCAGAGTGAGACCAGAGAGAGACCAGAGAGAGACCAGAGAGAGACCAGAGAGAGACCAGAGAGAGACCAGAGAGAGACCAGAGAGAGAACGGAGAGAGACCAGAGAGAGACCGGAGAGAGACCAGAGAGAGACCAGAGAGAGACCAGAGAGAGAGACCAGAGTGAGACCAGAGAGAGACCAGAGAGAGAGACCAGAGTGAGACCAGAGAGAGACCAGAGAGAGACCAGAGAGAGACCAGAGAGAGACCAGAGAGAGACCAGAGAGAGACCAGAGAGAGACCGGAGAGAGACCAGAGAGAGAGACCGGAGAGAGGCCAGAGAGAGACCAGAGAGAGACCAGAGAGAGAGACCGGAGAGAGACCAGAGAGAGAGACACGTCAGAGACCGGAGAGAGACCAGAGAGAGACCAGAGAGAGAGACCGGAGAGAGACCGGAGAGAGACCGGAGAGAGACCAGAGAGAGACCAGAGAGAGACCAGAGAGAGACCAGAGAGAGACCAGAGAGAGACCAGAGAGAGACCAGAGAGAGACCAGAGAGAGACCGGAGAGAGACCAGAGAGAGAGACCAGAGAGAGAGACCGGAGAGAGACCAGAGAGAGAGACCAGAGAGAGAGACCAGAGAGAGAGACCAGAGAGAGACCAGAGAGAGACCAGAGAGAGAGACACGTCAGAGACCAGAGAGAGACACGTCAGAGACCAGAGAGAGACCAGAGAGAGAGACACGTCAGAGACCAGAGAGAGAGACACGTCAGAGACCAGAGAGAGACACGTCAGAGACCAGAGAGAGACCGGAGAGAGAGACACGTCAGAGACCAGAGAGAGACACGTCAGAGACCAGAGAGAGACACGTCAGAGACCAGAGAGAGAGACACGTCAGAGACCAGAGAGAGAGACACGTCAGAGACCAGAGAGAGACCGGAGAGAGAGACACGTCAGAGACCAGAGAGAGAGACACGTCAGAGACCAGAGAGAGACCGGAGAGAGAGACACGTCAGAGACCAGATAGAGAGACACGTCAGAGACCAGAGAGAGAGACACGTCAGAGACCAGAGAGAGACACGTCAGAGACCAGAGAGAGAGACACGTCAGAGACCAGAGAGAGAGACACGTCAGAGACCAGAGAGAGAGACACGTCAGAGACCAGAGAGAGAGACACGTCAGAGACCAGAGAGAGAGACACGTCAGAGACCAGAGAGAGAGAGACACGTCAGAGACCAGAGAGAGACACGTCAGAGACCAGAGAGAGAGACACGTCAGAGACCAGAGAGAGAGACACGTCAGAGACCAGAGAGAGACACGTCAGAGACCAGAGAGAGACCGGAGAGAGAGAGACACGTCAGAGACCAGATAGAGAGACACGTCAGAGACCAGAGAGAGAGACACGTCAGAGACCAGAGAGAGACACGTCAGAGACCAGAGAGAGAGACACGTCAGAGACCAGAGAGAGAGACACGTCAGAGACCAGAGAGAGAGACACGTCAGAGACCAGAGAGAGACCGGAGAGAGAGACACGTCAGAGACCAGATAGAGAGAGACACGTCAGAGACCAGAGAGAGAGACACGTCAGAGACCAGAGAGAGACACGTCAGAGACCAGAGAGAGAGACACGTCAGAGACCAGAGAGAGAGACACGTCAGAGACCAGAGAGAGACACGTCAGAGACCAGAGAGAGAGAGACACGTCAGAGACCAGAGAGAGAGACACGTCAGAGACCAGAGAGAGAGACACGTCAGAGACCAGAGAGAGAGACACGTCAGAGACCAGAGAGAGACACGTCAGAGACCAGAGAGAGAGACACGTCAGAGACCAGAGAGAGAGACACGTCAGAGACCAGAGAGAGAGACACGTCAGAGACCAGAGAGAGAGACACGTCAGAGACCAGAGAGAGACCGGAGAGAGAGACACGTCAGAGACCAGATAGAGAGACACGTCAGAGACCAGAGAGAGAGACACGTCAGAGACCAGAGAGAGACACGTCAGAGACCAGAGAGAGAGACACGTCAGAGACCAGAGAGAGAGACACGTCAGAGACCAGAGAGAGACACGTCAGAGACCAGAGAGAGAGACACGTCAGAGACCAGAGAGAGAGACACGTCAGAGACCAGAGAGAGAGACACGTCAGAGACCAGAGAGAGAGACACGTCAGAGACCAGAGAGAGACACGTCAGAGACCAGAGAGAGAGACACGTCAGAGACCAGAGAGAGAGACACGTCAGAGACCAGAGAGAGACACGTCAGAGACCAGAGAGAGAGACACGTCAGAGACCAGAGAGAGAGACACGTCAGAGACCAGAGAGAGACACGTCAGAGACCAGAGAGAGAGACCAGAGAGAGACCAGAGAGAGACCAGAGAGAGAGACCAGAGAGAGAGACCAGAGAGACCAGGGAGGTTGTGTGTCTTACCATGTGTTCCAGGGGGTGTGCGTAGATACAGACGATGCCGATCGGAGCCGTCCACTCATGATGCTGTTTGTGAAACTGTTTGTAGAACCGCGGCTGATGGAACAATCTGCAGCGAGAGACGACAATGTACCTGTGCTCACCAGGGGGACATCTGTACCTGTGTGTACCTTTGTCCCTGTGATCCCGTCCCTATGATCCCGTACCTGTGAGAGTAGTAGAAGAAGACCTCCTCTATAATGGCGAATGCAGTGAGTTCCAGCAGAGCCCAGTGGAAGGTGGGCAGCTGTGGAGCACAGGGACTCCCTCTGGTGGACATGATGTGGTACGACACCACAAGCATCGGCCCCGACACAAAGATGTAGTTAAACAGCACTGTCTTCAGCAGGTGCGGCAGCCGCGCCCGGTCCACCTTAACACAGTTACTGATTACACTACAGCAGATTAGAAAACCACCTTAACACAGTTACTGATTACACTACAGCAGATTAGAAAACCACCTTAACACAGTTACTGATTACACTACAGCAGATTAGAAAACCACTAAGACAGTTACTGATTACACTACAGCAGATTAGAAAACCACCTTAACACAGTTACTGATTACACTACAGCAGATTAGAAAACCACCTTAACACAGTTACTGATTACACTACAGCAGATTAGAAAACCACCTTAACACAGTTACTGATTACACTACAGCAGATCAGAAAACCACCTTAAGACAGTTACTGATTACACTACAGCATTAGAAAACCACCAACTACAGTATGATTACATCAGAAAACCACCTTAAGACAGTTACTGATTACACTACAGCAGATTAGAAAACCACCTTAAACACAGTTACTGATTACACTACAGCAGATTAGAAAACCACCTTAACACAGTTACTGATTACACTACAGCAGATTAGAAAACCACCTTAACACAGTTACTGATTACACTACAGCAGATTAGAAAACCACTAAGACAGTTACTGATTACACTACAGCAGATTAGAAAACCACCTTAAGACAGTTACTGATTACACTACAGCAGATTAGAAAACCACCTTAAGACAGTTACTGATTACACTACAGCAGATTAGAAAACCACCTTAACACATTTACTGATTACACTACAGCAGATTAGAAAACCACCTTAAGACAGTTACTGAGTACACTACAGCAGATTAGAAAACCACCTTAAGCCAGTTACTGATTACACTACAGCAGATTAGAAAACCACCTTAAGCCAGTTACTGATTACACTACAGCAGATTAGAAAACCACCTTAACACAGTTACTGATTACACTACAGCAGATTAGAAAACCACCTTAACACAGTTACTGATTACACTACAGCAGATTAGAAAACCACTAAGACAGTTACTGATTACACTACAGCAGATTAGAAAACCACCTTAAGACAGTTACTGATTACACTACAGCAGATTAGAAAACCACCTTAACACAGTTACTGATTACACTACAGCAGATTAGAAAACCACCTTAACACAGTTACTGATTACACTACAGCAGATTAGAAAACCACCTTAAGACAGTTACTGATTACACTACAGCAGATTAGAAAACCACCTTAACACAGTTACTGATTACACTACAGCAGATTAGAAAACCACTAAAACAGTTACTGATTACACTACAGCAGATTAGAAAACCACCTTAAAACAGTTACTGATTACACTACAGCAGATTAGAAAACCACCTTAACACAGTTACTGATTACACTACAGCAGATTAGAAAACCACCTTAAAACAGTTACTGATTACACTACAGCAGATTAGAAAACCACCTTAAGACAGTTACTGATTACACTACAGCAGATTAGAAAACCACCTTAACACAGTTACTGATTACACTACAGCAGATTAGAAAACCACCTTAACACAGTTACTGATTACACTACAGCAGATTAGAAAACCACCTTAAGACAGTTACTGATTACACTACAGCAGATTAGAAAACCACCTTAAGCCAGTTACTGATTACACTACAGCAGATTAGAAAACCACCTTAACACAGTTACTGATTACACTACAGCAGATTAGAAAACCACCTTAACACAGTTACTGATTACACTACAGCAGATTAGAAAACCACCTTAAGCCAGTTACTGATTACACTACAGCAGATTAGAAAACCACCTTAACACAGTTACTGATTACACTACAGCAGATTAGAAAACCACCTTAAGACAGTTACTGATTACACTACAGCAGATTAGAAAACCACCTTAAGCCAGTTACTGATTACACTACAGCAGATTAGAAAACCACTAAGACAGTTACTGATTACACTACAGCAGATTAGAAAACCACCTTAACACAGTTACTGATTACACTACAGCAGATTAGAAAACCACCTTAACACAGTTACTGATTACACTACAGCAGATTAGAAAACCACCTTAACACAGTTACTGATTACACTACAGCAGATTAGAAAACCACCTTAACACAGTTACTGATTACACTACAGCAGATTAGAAAACCACCTTAAGACAGTTACTGATTACACTACAGCAGATTAGAAAACCACCTTAAGACAGTTACTGATTACACTACAGCAGATTAGAAAACCACCTTAACACAGTTACTGATTACACTACAGCAGATTAGAAAACCACCTTAAGACAGTTACTGATTACACTACAGCAGATTAGAAAACCACCTTAAGGCAGTTACTGATTACACTACAGCAGATTAGAAAACCACCTTAAGCCAGTTACTGATTACACTACAGCAGATTAGAAAACCACCTTAAGGCAGTTACTGATTACACTACAGCAGATTAGAAAACCACCTTAACACAGTTACTGATTACACTACAGCAGATTAGAAAACCACCTTAACACAGTTACTGATTACACTACAGCAGATTAGAAAACCACCTTAACACAGTTACTGATTACACTACAGCAGATTAGAAAACCACCTTAACACAGTTACTGATTACACTACAGCAGATTAGAAAACCACCTTAAGACAGTTACTGATTACACTACAGCAGATTAGAAAACCACCTTAAGCCAGTTACTGATTACACTACAGCAGATTAGAAAACCACTAAGACAGTTACTGATTACACTACAGCAGATTAGAAAACCACCTTAAGACAGTTACTGATTACACTACAGCAGATTAGAAAACCACCTTAAGACAGTTACTGATTACACTACAGCAGATTAGAAAACCACCTTAAGACAGTTACTGATTACACTACAGCAGATTAGAAAACCACCTTAACACAGTTACTGATTACACTACAGCAGATTAGAAAACCACCTTAACACAGTTACTGATTACACTACAGCAGATTAGAAAACCACCTTAACACAGTTACTGATTACACTACAGCAGATTAGAAAAGTGAATCTGAGGCCCTGTTTATACTGAGACGCTGCGCAGACGTTTCCAGGCTATTAACAGAAACGACCTGGCTCCTAATGCAAATTTCTCAGCGTTCACATGAGGTTGAAAAACGATGTAGTTCTAGCGCCCGGCCAGTAGGGGGCAGAGAAACTTTACAACACTCACACGACCCCCAGCCCCGTGCCCAGCCCCCCCTCTCTGCAGTGTACTCACTTCCTGTGCCAGACCCTCAGGACGTACCAACATCATTCTGCATTTTAACAGCAGCTGTGAAAATGGGAACTGAACCTAGAGCTTCGCGTTTGGACGAACGAAGGAGTAGAATTATCCTGTGTCCTGCGCTGGAAGCCCATGAAGCTAGTTAGTGCGAGCGCCGCCATTGTTGTTGATGTTGGTTCTCCGCTACTGCGCATGTCCAAATGTACGTGTGGGAGCAGCAGGAGGTGGGGGTCAGAGCAGCAGGAGGTGGGGGTCAGAGCAGCAGGAGGTGGGGGTCAGAGCAGCAGGAGGTGGGGGTCAGAGCAGCAGGAGGTGGGGGTCAGAGCAGCAGGAGGTGGGGGTCAGAGCAGTAGGAGGTGGGGGTCAGAGCAGCAGGAGGCGGGGGTCAGAGCAGCAGGAGGTGGGGGTCAGAGCAGCAGGAGGTGGGGGTCAGAGCAGCAGGAGGTGGGGGTCAGAGCAGCAGGAGGTGGGGGTCAGAGCAGCAGGAGGTGGGGGTCAGAGCAGCAGGAGGTGGGGGTCAGAGCAGCAGGAGGTGGGGGTCAGAGCAGCAGGAGGTGGGGGTCAGAGCAGCAGGAGGTGGGGGTCAGAGCAGCAGGAGGTGGGGGTCAGAGCAGCAGGAGGTGGGGGTCAGAGCAGCAGGAGGTGGGGGTCAGAGCAGAGTGTGAAAGAGCCCCCGCTGTGCAGCGTTTCTGAGGCTGGATCTGAACACTTACGTTTTCACCTGGAACAGTCTCCGTGTGAACGGTTGGTAGAAACCGACATCCAACTATACTGTTTTACTGCCACATTGTCTCCGTGTAAACTCAGCCTCAGACTGAGACTGACTTTGAGGTTTAATGTTGTGCATATTTAATGAATGTATGAATTCAATGAGTCCCAGTCCTGACCCTTGTGGTACCCCACATGGTCCCAGTCCTGACTCTTGTGGTATCCCACATGGTCCCAGTCCTGACCCTTGCGGTATCCCACATGGTCCCAGTCCTGACCCTTGCGGTATCCCACATGGTCCCAGTCCTGACCCTTGCGGTATCCCACATGGTTGTCTCCTCAGACCTTCACTTTCCATGTTTGTGTTGAGACACAGTGATAGTATCAGCGCTGCCAGACGCATGTGTTTTACTGCAGAGATAAGATTCACTCTGAGTCCAAGAGACGCTATCACAGGGACTCTGGACCAGTATCAAAGGGACGAGTGTGTGTCAAAGGGACGAGTGTGAGACAAAGGGACGAGCGTGAGTCAAAGGGACGAGTGTGAGACAAAGGGACGAGCGTGAGTCAAAGGGACGAGTGTGAGACAAAGGGACGAGTGTGTGTCAAAGGGACGAGTGTGTGTCAAAGGGACGAGTGTGAGACAAAGGGACGAGTGTGAGACAAAGGGACGAGTGTGTGTCAAAGGGACGAGTGTGAGTCAAAGGGACGAGTGTGAGACAAAGGGACGAGTGTGAGTCAAAGGGACGAGTGTGAGACAAAGGGACGAGTGTGTGTCAAAGGGACGACTATAGCAGGATGTGCTTAAACTTTCTGTTAAAATAACTTCTCTACCCTACTCTACTCTACCCTACTCTACTCTGCCCTACTCTACTCTACCCTACTCTACTCTACCCTACTCTACTCTACCCTACTCTACCCTACTCTACCCTACTCTACCCTACTCTACCCTACTCTACCCTACTCTACTCTACCCTACTCTACTCTACTCTACCCTACTCTACCCTACTCTACTCTACTCTACTCTACCCTACCCTACTCTACCCTACTCTACTCTACCCTACTCTACCCTACCCTACTCTACCCTACCCTACTCTACCCTACTCTACCCTACTCTACTCTACCCTACTCTACCCTACCTTACTCTACTCTACCTTACTCTACTCTACTCTACCCTACCCTACGCTACTCTACTCTACTCTACTCTACTCTACCCTACTCTACCCTACTCTACTCTACTCTACTCTACTCTACTCTACCCTACTCTACCCTACTCTACTCTACTCTACCCTACTCTACTCTACTCTACCCTACTCTACTCTACTCTATCCTACTCTACCCTACTCTACTCTACTCTATCCTACTCTACCCTACTCTACTCTACTCTACTCTATCCTACTCTACCCTACTCTACTCTACTCTACTCTATCCTACTCTACCCTACTCTACTCTATCCTACTCTACCCTACTCTACTCTACTCTAAACTAGGTAGAGATTAATAATTGACTTGAACCTGATGTTCCTCGTTATTGATTATCTCCAAAACATTATCTGTGCCTGATAAAACACACACACACACACACACACCGGATTGTTTTTGTCGTGCTGGATCCTGAACTTTGTGATGAACGAAGGTTTGGCTGTGACGTCGACGATCAGCAGCAGAGCATTGGTCCCCCAAAACACCAGCGTAGGTACCAGCATCGTACCTGTGATAGGAAGGTTATTTATATAGCCCTGAGACCAGGACTAATGTGAGAGGACTTCAGGACAGAGACCTGAGACCAGGACTAATGTGAGAGGACTTCAGGACAGAGACCTAAGACCAGGACTAATGTGAGAGGACTTCAGGACAGAGACCTGAGACCAGGACTAATGTGAGAGGACTTCAGGACAGAGACCTAAGACCAGGACTAATGTGAGAGGACTTCAGGACAGAGACCTGAGACCAGGACTAATGTGAGAGGACTTCAGGACAGAGACCTAAGACCAGGACTAATGTGAGAGGACTTCAGGACAGAGACCTGAGACCAGGACTAATGTGAGAGGACTTCAGGACAGAGACCTAAGACCAGGACTAATGTGAGAGGACTTCAGGAACACAGACCTGAGACCAGGACTAATGTGAGAGGACTTCAGGACAGAGACCTAAGCCAGGACTAATGTGAGAGGACTTCAGGACAGAGACCTGAGACCAGGACTAATGTGAGAGGACTTCAGGACAGAGACCTAAGACCAGGACTAATGTGAGAGGACTTCAGGACAGAGACCTGAGACCAGGACTAATGTGAGAGGACTTCAGGACAGAGACCTAAGACCAGGACTAATGTGAGAGGACTTCAGGACAGAGACCTGAGACCAGGACTAATGTGGGAGGACTTCAGGACAGAGACCTGAGACCAGGACTAATGTGAGAGGACTTCAGGACAGACCTGAGACCAGGACTAATGTGAGAGGACTTCAGGACAGAGACCTGAGACCAGGACTAATGTGAGAGGACTTCAGGACAGAGACCTAAGACCAGGACTAATGTGAGAGGACTTCAGGACAGAGACCTGAGACCAGGACTAATGTGAGAGGACTTCAGGACAGAGACCTAAGACCAGGACTAATGTGAGAGGACTTCAGGACAGAGACCTGAGACCAGGACTAATGTGAGAGGACTTCAGGACAGAGACCTAAGACCAGGACTAATGTGAGAGGACTTCAGGACAGAGACCTGAGACCAGGACTAATGTGGGAGGACTTCAGGACAGAGACCTGAGACCAGGACTAATGTGAGAGGACTTCAGGACAGACCTGAGACCAGGACTAATGTGAGAGGACTTCAGGACAGAGACCTGAGACCAGGACTAATGTGAGAGGACTTCAGGACAGAGACCTAAGACCAGGACTAATGTGAGAGGACTTCAGGACAGAGACCTGAGACCAGGACTAATGTGAGAGGACTTCAGGACAGAGACCTAAGACCAGGACTAATGTGAGAGGACTTCAGGACAGAGACCTGAGACCAGGAGACTAATGTGAGAGGACTTCAGGACAGAGACCTGAGACCAGGACTAATGTGAGAGGACTTCAGGACAGAGACCTGAGACCAGGACTAATGTGAGAGGACTTCAGGACAGAGACCTAAGACCAGGACTAATGTGAGAGGACTTCAGGACAGAGACCTGAGACCAGGACTAATGTGAGAGGACTTCAGGACAGAGACCTGAGACCAGGACTAATGTGAGAGGACTTCAGGACAGAGACCTGAGACCAGGACTAATGTGAGAGGACTTCAGGACAGAGACCTGAGACCAGGACTAATGTGAGAGGACTTCAGGACAGAGACCTGAGACCAGGACTAATGTGAGAGGACTTCAGGACAGAGACCTGAGACCAGGACACAGTTGTTTTGTCTGAGCCTCATGAAAGATCTGTAAATAAAGAAGTGGAGGTGTGTGTGTGTCTGTGTGTGTCTGTGTGTGTGTATTTGTGTGTCTGGAGTTGTACCGATGTAGAAGAGCTTCTGGTCGTGTCCTTCGAACTCGGTGTAAAGTCTGTTCCACTGTTTCTGCCAAAAGTCTCCAGACGCTCCCCAGAACCTCTGCAGGTGCCTGACACACAACAACACAACCATGTCTGCGGAGACCAGAGCGAGACCAACCAGAGAGAGAGACCAGAGCGAGACCAGAGCGAGATACCAGAGCGAGACCAGAGCGAGACCAGAGCGAGACCAGAGCGAGACCAACCAGAGAGAGAGACCAGAGCGAGACCAGAGCGAGACCAGAGCGAGAGACCAGAGCGAGACCAGAGCGAGAGACCAGAGCGAGACCAACCAGAGAGAGAGACCAGAGCGAGACCAGAGCGAGACCAACCAGAGAGAGAGACCAGAGAGAGAGACCAGAGAGAGACCAGCGAGAGACCAGAGCGAGACCAGAGAGAGAGACCAGAGAGAGAGACCAGAGAGAGACCAGCGAGAGACCAGAGCGAGACCAGAGAGAGAGACCAGAGAGAGACCAGAGAGAGAGACCAGAGAGAGAGCAGAGAGAGAGCAGAGAGAGTCCTACACTGCCCTACACTGTGAGTCCAACCATGTGAGAGAGTTCTACCATGTGAGAGAGTCCTACCATGTGAGAGAGTCCTACCATGTTAGAGATTCCTACCATGAGAGGGAGTCCTACCATGTGAGGGAGTCCTACCATGTGAGAGAGTCCTACCATTTGAGGGAGTCCTACCATGTGAGAGAGACCTACCATGTGAGGGGGTCCTATCATGTGAGAGAGACCTACCATGTGAGAAAGACCTACCATGTGAGAGAGTTCCCAAACGCAGCGAGGAGCAGGATTCCAGAGCCAATCACAAAAGCAGCTTTCTTCACAGAGTCCCACAGTCCTCCTGGACCATCCTGAGACCAGAGCGAGACCAGAGTGAGACCAGAGTGAGACCAGAGTGAGACCAGAGTGAGACCAGAGCGAGACCAGAGAGAGACCAGAGCGAGACCAGAGAGAGACCAGAGCGAGACCAGAGCGAGACCAGAGCGAGACCAGAGCGGAGACCAGAGCGAGAGACCAGAGCGAGAGAGACCAGAGAGAGAGACCAGAGAGAGAGACCAGAGAGACCAGAGAGAGAGACCAGAGAGAGAGACCAGAGAGAGAGAGACCAGAGAGAGAGAGACCAGAGAGAGAGAGACCAGAGAGAGAGAGACCAGAGAGAGAGACCAGAGAGAGACCAGAGAGAGACCAGGGAGAGACCAGGGAGAGACCAGAGAGAGACCAGAGAGAGACCAGAGAGAGACCAGAGAGAGAGACCAGAGAGAGAGAGACCAGAGAGAGAGCAGACAGAGAGACCAGAGAGAGACCAGAGAGAGACCAGAGCGAGACCAGAGCGAGACCAGAGTGAGACCAGAGTGAGACCAGAGAGAGACCAGAGAGAGACCAGAGTGAGACCAGAGCGAGACCAGAGAGAGACCAGAGCGAGACCAGAGAGAGACCAGAGCGAGACCAGAGCGAGACCAGAGCGGAGACCAGAGCGGAGACCAGAGCGAGAGACCAGAGCGAGAGAGACCAGAGAGAGAGACCAGAGAGAGAGACCAGAGAGACCAGAGAGAGAGACCAGAGAGAGAGACCAGAGAGAGAGAGACCAGAGAGAGAGAGACCAGAGAGAGAGAGACCAGAGAGAGAGAGACCAGAGAGAGAGACCAGAGAGAGACCAGAGAGAGACCAGGGAGAGACCAGGGAGAGACCAGAGAGAGACCAGAGAGAGACCAGAGAGAGACCAGAGAGAGAGACCAGAGAGAGAGAGACCAGAGAGAGAGCAGACAGAGAGACCAGAGAGAGACCAGAGAGAGACCAGAGCGAGACCAGAGCGAGACCAGAGTGAGACCAGAGTGAGACCAGAGTGAGACCAGAGTGAGACCAGAGTGAGACCAGAGCGAGACCAGAGAGAGACCAGAGCGAGACCAGAGAGAGACCAGAGCGAGACCAGAGCGAGACCAGAGCGAGACCAGAGCGGAGACCAGAGAGAGAGACCAGAGAGAGAGAGACCAGAGAGAGAGAGACCAGAGAGAGAGAGACCAGAGAGAGAGAGACCAGAGAGAGAGAGACCAGAGAGAGAGAGACCAGAGAGAGAGACCAGAGAGAGACCAGGGAGAGACCAGAGAGAGACCAGAGAGAGACCAGAGAGAGACCAGAGAGAGAGACCAGAGAGAGAGAGACCAGAGAGAGAGCAGACAGAGAGACCAGAGAGAGAGAACAGAGAGAGACCAGAGAGAGACCAGAGAGAGACCAGAGAGAGACCAGAGAGAGAGACCAGAGAGAGAGAGACCAGAGAGAGACCAGAGAGAGAGACCAGAGAGAGAGAGACCAGAGAGAGAGCAGAGAGAGAGCAGAGAGAGACCAGAGAGAGAGAGACCAGAGAGAGAGAGACCAGAGAGAGAGAGACCAGAGAGAGAGACCAGAGAGAGAGACCAGAGAGAGACCAGAGAGAGACCAGAGAGAGACCAGAGAGAGAGACCAGAGAGAGAGAGACCAGAGAGAGAGCAGACAGAGAGACCAGAGAGAGAGACCAGAGAGAGACCAGAGAGAGACCAGAGAGAGACCAGAGAGAGACCAGAGAGAGACCAGAGAGAGACCAGAGAGAGAGAGACCAGAGAGAGACCAGAGAGAGAGACCAGAGAGAGAGCAGACAGAGAGACCAGAGAGAGAGACCAGAGAGAGACCAGAGAGAGACCAGAGAGAGAGACCAGAGAGAGAGACCAGAGAGAGACCAGAGAGAGACCAGAGAGAGACCAGAGAGAGAGACCAGAGAGAGACCAGAGAGAGACCAGAGAGAGAGACCAGGGAGAGACCAGAGTCAGACTGGTGTAAACATGACTTACATGATGCCTCTTATATTTAAATTTTCAGTGTTACCGTGCACGGGTAACATATATACTTTTTACTATATATGCACACCATATACTGTATATACACTTTATACTATATACACACCAAGTATATATATTTATAAGTAAGTACATGTAAGTAAGTAATGTTTATTTATATAGCGTATTTTACAGACCAAGGTACAGACCCAAAGCGCTTAGATACTGTTCCAGTCCTTCCACACACGGTGATGACAGAAGCGAGTCCAGAACACACTGGACCATCAGCTCCAACACCATCATTCACTCTCTCATCTACATTCACACCTATGGTGCATGTTTTTAGTGGTAGGGGAAACCGGAGCACCCGGAGGAAACCCATGCAGACACGGGGAGAACATGCAAACTTCACTCAGAAAGCCCCTGTTCTGACCGGGATTCGAACCCAGGACCTTCTTACCTAGAAGCGATAGTGCTAACCACTCAGCAGTGGCTGAGTATACTTACATGTAAGTACAAGAAAGTACAAGAAAGTACATGTAAGTACATGTAAGTACATGTACTTGTATGTACATGTACTTACATGTAAGTACAAGTAAGTACAAGTAAGTACAAGTAAGTACAAGTAAGTACAAGTAAGTACATGTAAGTACAAGTAAGTACAAGTAAGTACAAGTAAGCACATGTAAGTACATGTAAGTACATAAGGCCGCTCCTGGGCCTCAAAAGGCCGCTCCTGGTCCTCAAAAGGCCGCTCCTGGTCCTCAAAAGGCCGCTCCTGGACCTCAAAAGGCCGCTCCTGGGCCTCAAAAGGCCGCTCCTGGGCCTCAAAAGGCCGCTCCTGGGCCTCAAAAGGCCGCTCCTGGGCCTCAAAAGGCCGCTCCTGGTCCTCAAAAGGCCGCTCCTGGGCCTCAAAAGGCCGCTCCTGGTCCTCAAAAGGCCGCTCCTGGTCCTCAAAAGGCCGCTCCTGGTCCTCAAAAGGCCGCTCCAAGACCTCAAAAGGCCGCTCCTGGTCCTCAAAAGGCCGCTCCTGGTCCTCAAAAGGCCGCTCCTGGTCCTCAAAAGGCCGCTCCTGGTCCTCAAAAGGCCGCTCCGGGACCTCAAAAGGCCGCTCCGGGACCTCAAAAGGCCGCTCCAAGACCTCAAAAGGCCGCTCCTGGTCCTCAAAAGGCCGCTCCAAGACCTCAAAAGGCCACTCCTGGTCCTCAAAAGGCCGCTCCGGGACCTCAAAAGGCCGCTCCAAGACCTCAAAAGGCCGCTCCTGGTCCTCAAAAGGCCGCTCCTGGACCTCAACAGGCCACTCCTGGTCCTCAAAAGGCCGCTCCGGGACCTCAAAAGGCCGCTCCGGGACCTCAAAAGGCCGCTCCGGGACCTCAAAAGGCCGCTCCGTACATAGCCTTTGTTGTGATTTTCTGGATGTTTTTGCTCGTTCTGTCTCTCATCGTTGAGGTTTATCTATGATGGAAATTACAGGGCTGCCTCGTCTTTTAAAGTGGGAGAATAACTGCTGCTGAATAACTTATTTTTGAAGAAGCGGTTACCGCAGTAAAAGAAAGACAAACAGAACATGTGGCGCCCCCTGCAGGTGAAAGCCAGATCCTATCAGACCTCTGAAGCTAAGAAGGGCAGGGCCTGGTTAGTGCTGTGATGGGAGACCTCTGAACAGCAGGTGCCACAGTGGGGCGGCTGCGGCTGTAAAGTGCCAAACTGTGGTTGTGTCCTTAGGCAAGACACTTCCCCCACATTAGAATGAGTCTGGTGTGTGTGTGAAAGGTTGGTGGTGGTGTCAGTGTGCCCCAGGGCAGCTGTGGCTACAGTAGTAGTTTAGGACACGTCTCTACTTCTGTCAGAGTATTTTTAATCAGGTTGAATGTTCTACTCACCTGCGTCACCTCTGTCCCCCTCGTTTCTGAAATTAAAAACACAAAATATTAAAACAGATTTCAACATTTCTTAGAATCTTCACATTTCTTTCCCTGATGTAAAGGAAAAGCAAAACGCCAGAACCACAGATTTACAATATTATCAAAGACGAGGCTTTTGATTGGACGGAGTCAGAGGAAACAGGAAGTGTGTCATTTGACCAGATGTTTGCTCCATGGATGTGTGAGGGTAATGCTAGCAGCTAGCTTAGCCACACATGGACTCCACATAGACTAGAGGCCTCCTGTGGTACTGCAGCCTACACACACATGGACTAGAGGCCACCTGTGGTACTGCAGCCTACATTCACATGGACTAGAGGCCTCCTGTGGTACTGCAGCCTACATTCACATGGACTAGAGGCCTCCTGTGGTACTGCAGCCTACATCCACATGGACTAGAGGCCACCTGTGGTACTGCAGCCTACATCCACATGGACTAGAGGCCTCCTGTGGTACTGCAGCCTACACACACATGGACTAGAGGCCTCCTGTGGTACTGCAGCCTACACCCACATGGACTAGAGGCCTCCTGTGGTACTGCAGCCTACATCCACATGGACTAGAGGCCTCCTGTGGTACTGCAGCCTACACCCACATGGACTAGAGGCCTCCTGTGGTACTGCAGCCTACATCCACATGGACTAGAGGCCTCCTGTGGTACTGCAGCCGAGATCCACATGGACTAGAGGCCTCCTGTGGTACTGCAGCCTACACCCACATGGACTAGAGGCCTCCTGTGGTACTGCAGCCTACACCCACATGGACTAGAGGCCTCCTGTGGTACTGCAGCCTACACACACATGGACTAGAGGCCTCCTGTGGTACTGCAGCCTACATCCACATGGACTAGAGGCCTCCTGTGGTACTGCAGCCTACATCCACATGGACTAGAGGCCTCCTGTGGTACTGCAGCCTACATCCACATGGACTAGAGGCCTCCTGTGGTACTGCAGCCTACATCCACATGGACTAGAGGCCTCCTGTGGTACTGCAGCCTACATCCACATGGACTAGAGGCCTCCTGTGGTACTGCAGCCTACATCCACATGGACTAGAGGCCACCAGTGGTACTGCAGCCTACATCCACATGGACTAGAGGCCTCCTGTGGTACTGCAGCCTACATCCACATGGACTAGAGGATCTCCTACAGACCTCAGTGTTAAATAAAACGGTTCGTCCTCAAAGACAGAACTACAGCTTTAACAAAGGACGATTCTTGTGTCTCTTGTCCTCAACTGGTGTCTCTCCCTCGCTGGGCTCTCTCTCTCTGGTCTCTCTCTGGTCTCTCTCTGGTCTCTCCCTGGTCTCTCTCTCTGGTCTCTCTCTCTGGTCTCTCTCTCTGGTCTCTCTCTCTGGTCTCTCTCTCTGGTCTCTCTCTCTGGTCTCTCCCTGGTCTCTCTCTCTGGTCTCTCTCTGGTGAGACCAGCAGCTCCCTCTCTCTGGTCTCTCTCTCTGGTCTCTCTCTGGTCTCTCTCTCTGGTCTCTCTCTGGTCTCTCTCTCTGGTCTCTCTCTGGTCTCTCTCTGGTCTCTCTCTCTGGTCTCTCTCTCTGGTCTCTCTCTCTGGTCTCTCTCTCTGGTCTCTCTCTCTGGTCTCTCTCTCTGGTCTCTCTCTCTGGTCTCTCTCTCTGGTCTCTCTCTCTGGTCTCTCTCTGGTCTCTCTCTGGTCTCTCTCTGGTCTCTCTCTGGTCTCTCTCTGGTCTCTCTCTGGTCTCTCTCTGGTCTCTCTCTGGTCTCACTCTGGTCTCTCTCTCTGGTCTCTCTCTGGTCTCTCTCTGGTCTCTCTCTCTCTGGTCTCACTCTGGTCTCACTCTGGTCTCTCTCTGGTCTCTCTCTGGTCTCTCTCTGGTCTCTCTCTGGTCTCTCTCTCTGGTCTCTCTCTGGTCTCTCTCTGGTCTCACTCTGGTCTCACTCTGGTCTCTCTCTGGTCTCTCTCTGGTCTCTCTCTGGTCTCTCTCTGGTCTCTCTCTCTGGTCTCTCTCTGGTCTCTCTCTGGTCTCGCTCTGGTCTCTCTCTGGTCTCTCTCTGGTCTCTCTCTGGTCTCTCTCTCTGCTGTTGTTGTGTCCTTGGGCAGGACACTTGACCCACTTTGCCTATAAGGAGTGCGGAAGTGATGTGACACTACACAGTGTGCGAATAAAGGACCTTCTTCTATTGAAGAAGAATCTGTGACGTTCCACAGAGAAGATAAAGCTTCTTTGATATTACAGCAGCAGCAACTCACAGGACTTCCCCTTTAACTTCTCAAAGTTCTCTAACTTCTCAAAGTTCTTTAAGTTGTCGATTCCCCAACCACAGAAAATCAAACAGTGCGATCACAGAAAATGCAATAAAAACACTAATGTGGGGGAAGTGTCTTGCCAAAAGACACAACCACAGTTTGATACAGGTGTGTTCCCATAGGTCTCCCATCACAGTACTGCCCAGACCCTGCTCTGCTTCACTTTCTTTTCTTAGAATAGATTAAAGCTGCGGTTAAAACCACCAAAAAGATTACCATGTGTAATTACAATTATAATATATATTATATATGTATAATATGTTATATATATTATATATCATGTAATGCACGTGTTAGTATCACGTGACAAGATCTCAGTCTGAGAAACACAACATCGACTTTTTACGCACAACACCGCGTTACGTACATCCAGGTTTAGACCTGGTTTAGTCCTGGTTTAGACCTGGTTTAGACCTGGTTTAGTCCTGGTTTAGTCCTGGTTTAGTCCTGGTTTAGTCCTGGTTTAGTCCTGGTTTAGTCCTGGTTTAGTCCTGGGTGAGACCAAGTGTGGACTAGTTTTATACCAGGTTTGGACCGAGTTTAGACCGAGTTTAGACCAAGTTTAGACCGAGTTTAGACCAGATTTAGACCGAGTTTAGACCAGATTTAGACCGAGTTTAGACCAGGTTTAGACCGAGTTTAGACCAACTCTAGACCAGGTTAGGAGCAGGTTCAGACCTGGTTCAGACCTGGTTCAGACCTGGTTCAGACCTGGTTCAGACCTGGTTCAGACCTGGTTCAGACCTGGTTCAGACCTGGTTCAGACCTGGTTCAGACCTGGTTCAGACCTGGTTCAGACCTGGTTCAGACCTGGTTCAGACCTGGTTCAGACCTGGTTCAGACCTGGTTCAGACCTGGACCAGGGAGTGGACTCACCGCGCCTCTGCACCGTCATGTCTGTGTCCGTGTCTGTGTCGCACGCACTTGGAGCTGAGTATATTTACACCGGGGCTGTGCTCCCATTGGCTGAGCAGGGTCAGCTGACCCGGAAGCAGCGCGGCTCGTGTTTATTGTTTTTCACATGTGTCATAAGAGACCTGCGGCTTTTGGACAGGTGAAGGGTGAACGGGTTACGTAAGACACGTAAGACACGCACGTAAGACACGCACGTTAGAGCTGAGGTTAGAGTTAAGTTAGAGTTTAGAGCTGAGGTAAAGCTCAGGTACCTAACCTGTCCACATGAGGTCATGTGACTTGGTCCATATTAGTTCTTCTCTGAGCTCTAAGCCCAAAGGGTCAAATAGTGACTCACAGGGACACACGAGCTCTGAGCCCAAAGGGTCAAATAGTGACTCACAGGGACACACGAGCTCTGAGCCCAAAGGGTCAAATAGTGACTATTTACATCTATGCAAAAGACCAGTGTTTTACATTCAGGCAAATGAGACGCAGGACTTTATGAAGTTTCACCGGGACTGCAACCTCACAGTCCCTGTGCTCTTCACAGTCCCTGTGCTCTTCACAGTCCCTGTGCTCTTCTCAGTCCCTGTGCTCTTCACAGTCCCTGTGCTCTTCACAGTCCCTGTGCTCTTCACAGTCCCTGTGCTCTTCACAGTCCCTGTGCTCTTCACAGTCCCTGTGCTCTTCACAGTCCCTGTGCTCTTCACAGTCCCTGTGCTCTTCTCAGTCCCTGTGCTGCTCACAGTCCCTGTGCTCTTCTCAGTCCCTGTGCTCTTCACAGTCCCTGTGCTCTTCACAGTCCCTGTGCTCTTCACAGTCCCTGTGCTCTTCTCAGTCCCTGTGCTCTTCTCAGTCCCTGTGCTCTTCTCAGTCCCTGTGCACTTCTCAGTCCCTGTGCTCTTCACAGTCCCTGTGCTCTTCACAGTCCCTGTGCTCTTCACAGTCCCTGTGCTCTTCTCAGTCCCTGTGCTCTTCTCAGTCCCTGTGCTCTTCTCAGTCCCTGTGCTCTTCTCAGTCCCTGTGCACTTCTCAGTCCCTGTGCTCTTCACAGTCCCTGTGCTCTTCACAGTCCCTGTGCTCTTCACAGTCCCTGTGCTCTTCTCAGTCCCTGTGCTCTTCACAGTCCCTGTGCTGCTCACAGTCCCTGTGCTCTTCTCAGTCCCTGTGCTCTTCACAGTCCCTGTGCTCTTCACAGTCCCTGTGCTGCTCACAGTCCCTGTGCTCTTCTCAGTCCCTGTGCTGCTCACAGTCCCTGTGCTCTTCTCAGTCCCTGTGCTCTTCACAGTCCCTGTGCTCTTCTCAGTCCCTGTGCTCTTCACAGTCCCTGTGCTCTTCACAGTCCCTGTGCTCTTCACAGTCCCTGTGCTCTTCTCAGTCCCTGTGCTCTTCACAGTCCCTGTGCTCTTCACAGTCCCTGTGCTCTTCTCAGTCCCTGTGCTCTTCTCAGTCCCTGTGCTCTTCACAGTCCCTGTGCTCTTCACAGTCCCTGTGCTCTTCTCAGTCCCTGTGCTCTTCACAGTCCCTGTGCTCTTCTCAGTCCCTGTGCTGCTCACAGTCCCTGTGCTCTTCTCAGTCCCTGTGCTGCTCACAGTCCCTGTGCTCTTCTCAGTCCCTGTGCTCTTCTCAGTCCCTGTGCTCTTCTCAGTCCCTGTGCTCTTCTCAGTCCCTGTGCTCTTCTCAGTCCCTGTGCTCTTCACAGTCCCTGTGCTCTTCTCAGTCCCTGTGCTCTTCTCAGTCCCTGTGCTGCTCACAGTCCCTGTGCTCTTCTCAGTCCCTGTGCTCTTCACAGTCCCTGTGCTCTTCTCAGTCCCTGTGCTGCTCACAGTCCCTGTGCTCTTCACAGTCCCTGTGCTCTTCTCAGTCCCTGTGCTCTTCTCAGTCCCTGTGCTGCTCACAGTCCCTGTGCTCTTCTCAGTCCCTGTGCTGCTCACAGTCCCTGTGCTCTTCTCAGTCCCTGTGCTGCTCACAGTCCCTGTGCTCTTCACAGTCCCTGTGCTCTTCTCAGTCCCTGTGCTCTTCTCAGTCCCTGTGCTCTTCACAGTCCCTGTGCTCTTCTCAGTCCCTGTGCTCTTCACAGTCCCTGTGCTCTTCTCAGTCCCTGTGCTCTTCACAGTCCCTGTGCTCTTCTCAGTCCCTGTGCTCTTCACAGTCCCTGTGCTCTTCACAGTCCCTGTGCTCTTCACAGTCCCTGTGCTCTTCACAGTCCCTGTGCTCTTCTCAGTCCCTGTGCTCTTCTCAGTCCCTGTGCTCTTCTCAGTCCCTGTGCACTTCTCAGTCCCTGTGCTCTTCACAGTCCCTGTGCTCTTCACAGTCCCTGTGCTCTTCTCAGTCCCTGTGCTCTTCACAGTCCCTGTGCTCTTCACAGTCCCTGTGCTCTTCTCAGTCCCTGTGCTCTTCTCAGTCCCTGTGCTCTTCTCAGTCCCTGTGCACTTCTCAGTCCCTGTGCTCTTCACAGTCCCTGTGCTCTTCACAGTCCCTGTGCTCTTCACAGTCCCTGTGCTCTTCTCAGTCCCTGTGCTCTTCTCAGTCCCTGTGCTCTTCACAGTCCCTGTGCTCTTCACAGTCCCTGTGCTCTTCACAGTCCCTGTGCTGCTCACAGTCCCTGTGCTCTTCACAGTCCCTGTGCTCCCAGCAGTCCCTGTGCTCCTCAGAGTCCCACAGGAGGCCAGTCCCTGTGCTCCTCAGAGTCCCAGCAGGAGGCCAGTCCCTGTGCTCCTCAGAGTCCCAGCAGGAGGCCAGTCCCTGTGCTCCTCAGAGTCCCAGCAGGAGGCCAGTCCCTGTGCTCCTCAGAGTCCCAGCAGGAGGCCAGTCCCTGTGCTCCTCAGGGTCCCAGCAGGAGTCCAGTCCCTGTGCTCCTCAGAGTCCCAGCAGGAGGCCAGTCCCTGTGCTCCTCAGAGTCCCAGCAGGAGGCCAGTCCCTGTGCTCCTCAGAGTCCCAGCAGGAGGCCAGTCCCTGTGCTCCTCAGAGTCCCAGCAGGAGGCCAGTCCCTGTGCTCCTCAGAGTCCCAGCAGGAGGCCAGTCCCTGTGCTCCTCAGAGTCCCAGCAGGAGGCCAGTCCCTGTGCTCCTCAGAGTCCCAGCAGGAGTCCAGTCCCTGTGCTCCTCAGAGTCCCAGCAGGAGGCCAGTCCCTGTGCTCCTCAGAGTCCCAGCAGGAGGCCAGTCCCTGTGCTCCTCAGAGTCCCAGCAGGAGGCCAGTCCCTGTGCTCCTCAGAGTCCCAGCAGGAGTCCAGTCCCTGTGCTCCTCAGAGTCCCAGCAGGAGTCCAGTCCCTGTGCTCCTCAGAGTCTGTATAATGCCTGTTTACATGTTTTTAGACTTCAATGTAAGTTTGTGTTATTATTATTATTAATATTATTATTATAATAACAGTAGCGACAGTAGCTCAGTTGGTAGAGCATTGGCCTTCAGGCCTGAAGGTCGTGGGTTCAATTCCCACCTCTGCACCTTCTCCACCGACTCCCACTGATGACTGCTGTCGTTGTGTCCTTGGGCAAGACACTTAACCCCACTTTGCCCAAAGCCCCCACTGAAAGATCAAGGCTATGCTCACAGTCAGAGAGCAGCCTCCTCCTGTGGACTCACCACCTGCAGAGGGTCAGTGAGGGGCTGGTGCTATGAGACTTGGGTGGTCTCTCTGACTACCACCCCCCTGACCCAGAAATGGATTAAAGGGTAGAAAATGGATGGATGGATGGATTATTATTATTATTCTGAATATTTCTGGAGTTTTCTTCTGACCAAAACTGTGACGTTTGGACTGAACCAAAATCTGGCTCAAACCATAAACCGTGAGGATTGGTCGAAGAACCCGCTCCCATCTCTGTGTGGAGTGAGAGACAAATGCCCAAAAATAATAACAATTGTAAACTGCTTTGTGGCTCTGGTCTGTGAAAGGCGCTATATAAATAAACATGACTTACTTACTTAGATGTAAAATAAGGTGTAACACGCCATGGAAGCTCAAAGCAGTCATTGTCATCATTGACGCGACAGTAGCGTAGTTGGTAGAGCATTGGCCTTTGAGCCAGAGGGTCAGGGGTTCGAGCCCGACTTTCACCATCGACTCCCACTGTCTGCTGTCGTTGTGTCCTTGGGCAAGACACTTCACCTCTGGGAACAGCAGGAGCCACAGTGGGGCGGAGAGAATACCATTCATTCACTCCAAACACAGTGGTGATAAACTACTACTGTAGCCACAGCTGCCCTGGGGCACACTGACAGAAGCGAGGCACAGACTGGTTGCCTCGCTTCTGTCAGTGTGCCCCAGGGCAGCTGTGGCTACAGCAGTAGTTTATCACCACCGTGTTTGGAGAGAGAGAATAATGACATGTGAAGCGTCTTAGAGAGTCCAGAAAAGCGCTTTATAAAAATAATTATTATTATTATGAAGACCAAGTGACGAGCACTTTACATGTTTAAATATATTTAAACATGTTTTCTCCGTGCGTCAGATTTACGTACTGTCTCTTTAACGCAGATTCCATCACAAACACCTCCATAAACATCTCCTCACACGGTCCCCCCAACCCATCTCTGCGTTCTCCATCAGAACAAACGCGTGCACAGGGTTAAGCACAGGGCTCGCTGTGGATTGTGGGAGTTAACACTGAAGCTGCAACCGGAGCCCGAGGATCCACCACCGAGACCGTGTACCGTGAGTACCGACTGTTCCATGGCGTCTGTCTGCGTCTGCCCGGGCCCGCGCCGCTCTCCCCCCGCCGCACTCCGCCGCTCTCTCCTCTTATTATTATGATGATTATTATAATGTTATATTCTCCCGTTTCCTCCGTGTCTCGGTGAAGGCCCGAGCTGCAGCCGGAGCAGGAGCGGTGGGCACGGGCAGGAGGAGCGGGGGAGGCGGGCCCAGAGCACGGCCACAGAGGCTGTAACACCCCGCTACAAACAAACACACACCGCTGCAAAGAAACACACACCGCTACAAACACACACACACCGCTGCAAACAAACACACACCGCTGCAAACAAACACACACCGCTGCAAACAAACACACACCGCTGCAAAGAAACACACACCGCTGCAAACACACACACACCGCTACAAACACACACACACCGCTGCAAAGAAACACACACCGCTGCAAACACACACACACCGCTGCAAACAAACACACACCGCTGCAAAGAAACACACACCGCTACAAACACACACACACCGCTGCAAACAAACACACACCGCTGCAAAGAAACACACACCGCTGCAAACACACACACACCGCTGCAAACACACACACACCGCTGCAAACAAAAGCGAAACGCGTTTGAAGGTTTCGTTTGTTTTGACGTCGCGGAAATGGCTCAAAGCAACGCAGCTGCAACAATTCAAAGGATTGGAAAAAAAATACATGAAATGGAACAAACTCCTGCACGTGAATGCGCCGCGACACCAGGGCAGATGTGGCAGATGTGGCAGATGTGGAACGAAGGGCTGTTTAAATCATTACGTGTATTAAAATATGACCAATATTGTGTCGCGCGGATAAGGTGCGTGTGGAGCCCGGGAATGTGCTGTTGCTATGGAGAAGGGGCAGAGACAGGGGCCTTGTGGCGGTAATTGATTCTCAGTAACTCTGTGTGTGTGTGTGTGTCCGACCTCAAGGAAACACCAGGTGCCAAACTGTGGTTGTGTCCTTAGGCAAGACACTTCCCCCACATTAGAATGAGTAGTGGGAGGGGTCTGTCAGTGTGCCCCAGGGCAGCTGTGACTTTGAGTGTCCAGAAAAGCGGTTTATAAAATATTATTGTGTAAAGCCATAACCGTCGCCTACACACCTCCCCTTTAACCCAGAGTCAGGCCTAAACATGAGGAGGCAGCGTTTCAGATTTAGGCTCAAATCTGGAACAATCTTCCTGAAAATGTAACAACTGAAGTATTTTTATTCTTTAATGTTCTGTGATTATTTATTATGTTAATTTGTGTATGAACTATACAAATAAACCTGCTTTACCTTTAACGTGTGTCGCAGGAGCTGAGTCTGTAGCAGAGCATCATGTCCAGTCGCGGCGGAAAGAAGAAGACGACCAAAACGTCGCGCTCGACCAAAGCCGGCGTGATTTTCCCCGTGGGTCGAATGCTGCGCTACATCAAGAGGGGACTCCCCAAGTACCGCATTGGGGTGGGGGCCCCCGTGTACCTGGCTGCGGTACTTGAGTACCTGACCGGTGAGAGGTCACAGGCGTTAGTCCCTCTGTCCCACAGGTCCTGAGTCAGGCTTCAACAAATACAGGCCATTCATGAAGAGAAAGACTAAAAAGTGAAAGTACAGTGTGTACTGTAACCATGACGACCTCAGTGAGTGCTGTAACCACGACGACCTCAGTGTGTACTGTAACCACGACGACCTCGGTTTGTACTGTAACCACGACAACATCAGTGTGTGCTGTAACCACGACGACCTCAGTGTGTACTGTAACCATGACAACATCAGTGTGTGCTGTAACCACGACGACCGCAGTGTGTACTCAGACTGTAACCATGACGACCTCAGTGTGTGCTGTAACCACAACGACCTCAGTGTGTACTGTAACCATGACGACCTCAGTGTGTACTGTAACCACGACAACCTCAGTGTGTACTGTAACCACGACGACCTCAGTGTGTACTGTAACCATGACGACCTCAGTGTTTACTGTAACCATGACAACATCAGTGTGTGCTGTAACCATGACGACCTCAGTGTGTGCTGTAACCACGACAACCTCAGTGTGTGCTGTAACCATGACGACCTCAGTGTGTGCTGTAACCATGACAACATCAGTGTGTGCTGTAACCACGACGACCTCAGTGTGTGCTGTAACCATGACGACCTCAGTGTGTGCTGTAACCACGACGACCTCAGTGTGTGCTGTAACCACGACGACCTCAGTGTGTGCTGTAACCACGACGACCTCAGTGTGTACTGTAACCAAGACGACCTCAGTGTGTACTGTAACCATGACAACCTCAGTGTGTACTGTAACCACGACAACCTCAGTGTGTACTGTAACCATGACGACCTCAGTGTGTACTGTAACCATGACGACCTCAGTGTGTACTGTAACCATGATGACCTCAGTCTGTAACCATGACGACCTCAGTGTGTACTGTAACCATGACGACCTCAGTGTGTGCTGTAACCAAGACGACCTCAGTGTGTACTGTAACCAAGACAACCTCAGTGTGTGCTGTAACCATGACGACCTCAGTGTGTGCTGTAACCATGACGACCTCAGTGTGTACTGTAACCATGACGACCTCAGTGTGTGCTGTAACCACGACGACCTCAGTGTGTGCTGTAACCACGACGACCTCAGTGTGTACTGTAACCAAGACGACCTCAGTGTGTACTGTAACCACGACGACCTCAGTGTGTACTGTAACCACGACGACCTCAGTGTGTACTGTAACCACGACAACCTCAGTGTGTACTGTAACCATGACGACCTCAGTGTGTGCTGTAACCACGACGACCTCAGTGTGTACTGTAACCATGACGACCTCAAGGCAAGGCAAGTTTATTCATATAGCTCAATTCATACACAAGGCAACTCAAAGTGCTGAACAAAATAGCATTAAAATCATAAATAATCAGATTCATTTTATTTGCCATGTGCAGCATGAAAACTAACCTTGCCTGCAAGCTGAATTCTCGCGGTATTTGTGAGTTCACAAACACTCGAGAATACATCTTGTCCCGCTCCCGCTTACACTTTTCGAGTCGAACCACTGGGTGTGCGAGCCAATCACGCGCCAGTCTGGGGGTTTAGGGCGGGATATCCGGGTTTGACGAAAGCAAGAAGTGCCGGGCCGAAGCAAAACAAACATGGCTACGCAGGAGGACGGACGCAAAGTCAGTTTTAGCAGATTCTCCAATTTCTTTTTTGAAAGATGAACAGCGAGAGGCGCTTTGTACATTTCTGGACGGCAACCTTGGTAGGTGGGCACACAGCCTCACTTCGCCCAATCAGCTTCAAGTATTCTGCTGCTTACCCCTCCTTTCCCCGAAAGGATTCTCCAGGAGAAGTCCCAGATTGATATCGCGGAGAACGCGTTAGAGTTCTACACAATCATCAATCTGGCTTTTGCCAGGTTACATGAAAACCACATTGGAATACATTCGCAAAAAAGGTACTCTGTGTGCACCGACAGAATAAAGAGCACGATACATATAAAATACACATACACTTGAACATAAATAAAAACAGCTGATACTGTGGCACCGATCAACAAAAACGATACAAGGAGTAGAAGCAGCAACTAAAGTGCTCTGTTTAGGCACCTGACAGCCTGTGGGAAGAAGCTGTTAGCATAGCCAGATGTCTTGCATCTCAGCGAACGATATCTTCTGCCAGAGGGAAGAAGCTGGAACATGGCTTTCCCAGGGTGGCCAGAAGAGTCATTAACAATCCTAAGAGCTTTGTTTAAAAGTCTGGATTTATAAAGAACCTCCAGAACAGGAAGCTCACAGCCCACGGTCCTCTTTGCAGAGCGGAGCACCTTGTTTAAAGCTCTCTTTTCTTTACAGTGCCTTGCGAAAGTATTCGGCCCCCTTGAACCTTTCAACATTTCGCCACATTTCAGGCTTCAAACATAAAAATATAGACATTTAATTTTTTGTCAAGAATAAACAACAAGTGGGACACAATCGTGAAGTGGAACAAAATTTATTTGATAATTTAAACTTTTTTAACAAATAGAAAACTGAAAAGTGGGGCATGCAATATTATTCGGCCCCTTGCGCTAATACTTTGTAGCGCCACCTTTTGCTGCAATTACAGCTGCAAGTCGCTTGGGGTATGTCTCTATCAGTTTTGCACAGAGGCTGGAATTCTTTCCCATTCTTCCTTGCAAAACAGCTGGAGCTCAGTGAGGTTGGATGGAGAGCGTTTGTGAACAGCAGTCTTCAGCTCTTTCCACAGATTCTGGATTGGATTCAGGTCTGGACTTTGACTTGGCCATTCTAACACCTGGATACGTCTATTTGTGAACCATTCCATTGTAGATTTGGCTTTATGTTTTGGATCATTGTCCTGTTGGAAGATAAATCTCCGTCCCAGTCTCAGGTCTTTTGCAGACTCCAACAGGTTTTCTTCCAGAATGGTCCTGTATTTGGCTCCATCCATCTTCCCATCAATTTTAGCCATCTTCCCTGTCCCTGCTGAAGAAAAGCAGGCCCAAAGCATGATGCTGCCACCACCATGTTTGACAGTGGGGATGGTGTGTTCAGGGTGATGAGCTGTGTTGCTTTTACGCCAAACATATCGTTTTGCATTGTGGCAAAAAAGTTTGATTTTGGTTTCATCTGACCAGAGCACCTTCTTCCACATGTTTGGTGTGTCTCCCAGGTGGCTTGTGGCAAACTTTAAACCAGACTTTTTATGGATATCTTTGAGAAATGGCTTTCTTCTTGCCACTCTTCCATAAAGGCCAAATTTGTGCAGTGCACGACTGATTGTTGTCCTATGGACAGACTCTCCCACCTCAGCTGTAGTTATCTGCAGTTCATCCAGAGTGATCATGGGCCTCTTGGCTGCATCTCTGATCAGTCTTCTCCTTGTTTGAGATGAAAGTTTGGAGGGACGGCCGGGTCTTGGTAGATTTGCAGTGGTCTGATACTCCTTCCATTTCAATATAATTGCTTGCACAGTGCTCCTTGAGATGTTTAAAGCTTGGGAAATCTTTTTGTATCCAAATCCGGCTTTAAACTTCTCCACAACAGTATCTCGGACCTGCCTGGTGTGTTCCTTTGTCTTCATGGTTCTCTCTGTGCTTTAAACAGAACCCTGAGACTATCAAAGAGCAGGTGCATTTATACGGAGACTTGATTACACACAGGTGCATTCTATTTATCATCATCAGTCATTTAGGACAACATTGGATCATTCAAAGATCCTCACTGAACTTCTGGACTGAGTTTGCTGCACTGAAAGTAAAGGGGCCCAATAATATTGCACACCCCACTTTTCAGTTTTTTATTTGTTAAAAAAGTTTAAATTATCCAATAAATTTTGTTCCACTTCACGATTGTGTCCCACTTGTTGTTGATTCATGACAAAAAATAAAATTTTATATATTTATGTTTGAAGCCTGAAATGTGGCAAAATGTTGAAAGGTTCAATACTTTCGCAAGGCACTGTATCTGTGATGTTTCCAAACCACACAGACAAAGAACCAACAAGTAAACTCTCAATGGTGCAGCGATAAAATTCACAGAATAATAACAGAACATTAAAAAGAAAGATAAAAATATAAAATCCCTCAGTTGTAGCACAGCTAAACAGAACTGTCTTTAACCTGGTTTTAAACATTGTCAGAGAGGAGGCCTGTCTCACATCTTCAGGAAGACTGTTCCAGATTTTAGCAGCATGAATCTGAAAAGCAGCCTCCCCTCAATGAGGTTCCTTTGATGGTTCCTCTGATGGTACTTTGATGGTTCCTCTGATGGTTCTTTGATGGTTCCTCTGATGGTACTTTGATGGTTCCTCTGATGGTACTTTGATGGTTCCTCTGATGGTACTTTGATGGTTCCTCTGATGGTACTTTGATGGTCCCTCTGATGGTTCTTTGATGGTTCCTCTGATGGTTCTTTGATGGTTTCAGCTGAAATCCTGGAGTTGGCGGGAAACGCAGCACGAGACAATAAGAAAGGACGTGTCACACCTCGACACATTCTGCTCGCCATCGCCAATGATGAGGAACTCAACCAGGTACACACAATACACAGATACACAACACACACAGATACACAACACACACACAATACACACAGATACACAATACACACAGATACACAACACACACAATACACACAGATACACAACACACACACAGATACACAACACACACACACAATACACACAGATACACAACACACACACAGATACACAACACACACACACAATACACACAGATACACAACACACACACACAATACACACAGATACACAACACACACACATACACAACACACACACAATACACACAGATACCTCTGACCCTAGCTCCTCTGACCTCTGACCCCAGCTCCTCTGACCTCAGACCCCAGCTCCTCTGACCTCTGATCCCAGCCCCTCTGGACCTTTGACCCCACCCCCTCTGCCCTCTGACACCACCCCCTCTGCCCTCTGACACCAGCCCCTCTGACCCCAGGCCCTCTGATCTCTGACCTCTGACCCCAGCTCCTCAAAGGCGTGACCATCGCAGCAGGAGGGGTCCTCCCGAACATCCATCCTGAGCTCCTGGCGAAGAAGAGAGGATCCAAAGGAAAACTGGAGGCTCCGGTGTCTCCTGCCCCCGAGAAGAAGCAGAAGAAGAAACCAGTGACCAGGAAGCTGAGCGGCAAGAAACTGGGCCGACCCAAGGTACAGTATACATGCCTCAGTATGTCTCAGTATATATACATGCCTCAGTATGTCTCAGTATATATACATGCCTCAGTATGTCTCAGTATATATACATGCCTCAGTATGTCTCAGTATATATACATGCCTCAGTATGTCTCAGTATATATACATGCCTCAGTATGTCTCAGTATATATACATGCCTCAGTATGTCTCAGTATATATACATGCCTCAGTATGTCTCAGTATATATACATGCCTCAGTATGTCTCAGTATATATACATGCCTCAGCATGTCTCAGTATATATACATGCCTCAGCATGTCTCAGTATATATACATGCCTCAGTATGTCTCAGTATATATACATGCCTCAGTATGTCTCAGTATATATACATGCCTCAGTATGTCTCAGTATATATACATGCCTCAGCATGTCTCAGTATATATACATGCCTCAGTATGTCTCAGTATATATACATGCCTCAGTATGTCTCAGTATATATACATGCCTCAGTATGTCTCAGTATATACAGTGCCTTGCGAAAGTATTCGGCCCCCTTGAACCTTTCAACATTTCACCACATTTCAGGCTTCGAACATAAAGATATAAAAATATATTTTTTTGTCAAGAATCAACAACAAGTGAGACACAATCGTGAAGTGGAACGAAATTTATTGGATAATTTAAACTTTTTTAACAAATAAAAAACTGAAAAGTGGGGCGTGCAATATTATTCGGCCCCTTGCGCTAATACTTTGTAGCACCACCTTTTGCTGCATTTACAGCTGCAAGTCGCTTGGGGTATGTCTCTATCAGTTTTGCACATCGAGAGACTGGAATTCTTGCCCCTTCTTCCTTGCAAAACAGCTGGAGCTCAGTGAGGTTGGATGGAGAGCGTTTGTGAACAGCAGTCTTCAGCTCTTTCCACAGATTCTGGATTGGATTCAGGTCTGGACTTTGACTTGGCCATTCTAACACCTGGATACGTCTATTTGTGAACCATTCCATTGTAGATTTGGCTTTATGTTTTGGATCATTGTCCTGTTGGAAGATAAATCTCCGTCCCAGTCTCAGGTCTTTTGCAGACTCCAACAGGTTTTCTTCCAGAATGGTCCTGTATTTGGCTCCATCCATCTTCCCATCAATTTTAGCCATCTTCCCTGTCCCTGCTGAAGAAAAGCAGGCCCAAAGCATGATGCTGCCACCACCATGTTTGACAGTGGGGATGGTGTGTTCAGGGTGATGAGCTGTGTTGCTTTTACGCCAAACATATCGTTTTGCATTGTGGCCAAAAAGTTCGATTTTGGTTTCATCTGACCAGAGCACCTTCTTCCACATGTTTGGTGTGTCTCCCAGGTGGCTTGTGGCAAACTTTAAACAAGACTTTTTATGGATATTTTTGAGAAATGGCTTTCTTCTTGCCACTCTTCCATAAAGGCCAGATTTGTGCAGTGCACGACTGATTGTTGTCCTATGGACAGACTCTCCCACCTCAGCTGTAGTTATCTGCAGTTCATCCAGAGTGATCACGGGCCTCTTGGCTGCATCTCTGATCAGTCTTCTCCTTGTTTGAGATGAAAGTTTGGAGGGACGGCCGGGTCTTGGTAGATTTGCAGTGGTCTGATACTCCTTCCATTTCAATATAATTGCTTGCACAGTGCTCCTTGAGATGTTTAAAGCTTGGGAAATCTTTTGTATCCAAATCCGGCTTTAAACTTCTCCACAACAGTATCTCGGACCTGCCTGGTGTGTTCCTTTGTCTTCATGGTTCTCTCTGCGCTTTAAACAGAACCCTGAGACTATCAAAGAGCAGGTGCATTTATACGGAGACTTGATTACACACAGGTGCATTCTATTTATCATCATCAGTCATTTAGGACAACATTGGATCATTCAAAGATCCTCACTGAACTTCTGGACTGAGTTTGCTGCACTGAAAGTAAAGGGGCCCAATAATATTGCACGCCCCACTTTTCAGTTTTTTATTTGTTAAAAAAGTTTAAATTATCCAATAAATTTCGTTCCACTTCTCGATTGTGTCCCACTTGTTGTTGATTCATGACAAAAAATTAAAATTTTATATATTTATGTTTGAAGACTGAAATGTGGCGAAATGTTCAAGGGGGCCGAATACTTTCGCAAGGCACTGTATACTGTCTCAGTATATATACTAAGACATGTATGTCTCAGTATACATGCCTCAGTATGTCTCAGTATACATGACTGAGTATGTCTCAGTATACATGCCTCAGTATGTCTCAGTATACATGCCTCAGTATGTCTCAGTATACATGACTGAGTATGTCTCAGTATACATGCCTCATTATGTCTCAGTATACATGTCTCAGTATACATGCCTCAGTATGTCTCAGTATACATGTCTAATATCTAACTTTCAGAAGCAGAGCTCTAACATGTTTAACATCTCTAACTTTCAGAAGCAGAGCTCTAACATGTTTAACATCTCTAACTTTCAGAAGCAGAGCTCTAACATGTCTAACATCTCTAACTTTCAGAAGCAGAGCTCTAACATGTCTAACATCTCTAACTTTCAGAAGCAGAGCTCTAACATGTTTAACATCTCTAACTTTCAGAAGCAGAGCGGTGAAGTGAGTAAAGCAGCGTCCGCAGACAGCACCACAGAAGGCGCCATTGGCGACAGCTTCACGGTCCTATCCACCAAGAGCCTGTTCCTGGGACAGAAGGTCAGGCCACGCCCCTTAGCAACCACACCGGCCACGCCCGATAGTAACTACACATGCCACACCCCTTAATAGCCACACAGGCCACGCCCCTTAGTAACCACACCGGCCATGCCCGATAGTAACCACACATGCCACACAGGCCCCGCCCCTTAGCAATCACACAGGCCACGCCCCTGAGTAGCCACATAGGCCACGCCCCTTGGTAACCACACAGGCCATGCAACCATCTGTTCTGCACAAACGTTGGATCAAACTAAACCATTGTTTCCTGGAAAGTTTGGTCAAATTGGCAATCAGCAGATATTGTTTCCTTTTGAGTTGGAAAGTGCAATGCCTTGGATCCTGATGAAGCTTCAGTATCAGTCCTGGAGTCACTATTGAAACTAAAACCATGTGAAACTCGGGGCCTGCTCCGTCTGGGACCAGTCATTTATTATATATGTACAGGTCTGTCTCCTCCTGCTCCTCCTCCTGCTGCCTCTGCTCCTCCTGATCCTCCTCCTGATCCTCTTCCTGCTCCTCCTCCTGCTGCTTCTGCTCCTCCTGATCCTCCTCCTGATCCTCTTCCTGCTCCTCCTCCTGCTGCCTCTGCTCCTCCTGATCCTCCTCCTGATCCTCTTCCTGCTCCTCCTCCTGCTGCTTCTGCTCCTCCTGATCCTCCTGCTCCTCCTGATCCTCCTGCTCCTCCTGATCCTCCTGCTCCTCCTGATCCTCCTGCTCCATAATGGTCCTCTCTGATCCATAATGTGAATTACTCTGACGGAACACGCCCTGAACATAACAGATACAGACACAGGTACAGACACAGGTACAGACACTGATACAGACACAGGTACAGACACAGGTACAGACACTGATACAGACACTGATACAGACACAGGTACAGACACAGGTACAGACACTGATACAGACACAGGTACAGACACAGGTACAGACACTGATACAGACACTGGTACAGACACAGGTACAGACACAGGTACAGACACTGATACAGACACAGGTACAGACACAGGTACAGACACTGATACAGACACTGATACAGACACAGGTACAGACACAGGTACAGACACTGATACAGACACAGGTACAGACACAGGTACAGACACTGATACAGACACTGGTACAGACACAGGTACAGACACAGGTACAGACACTGATACAGACACAGGTACAGACACAGGTACAGACACAGGTACAGACACAGGTACAGACACAGGTACAGACACAGGTACAGACACTGATACAGACACTGGTACAGACACAGGTACAGACACAGGTACAGACACTGATACAGACACAGGTACAGACACTGGTACAGACACTGGTACAGACACTGGTACAGACACTGATACAGACACATATACAGACACAGGTACACACACAGGTACAGACACACACTGGTACAGACACAGGTACAGACGCATGTACAGACACAGCTACAGACACTGGTACAGACACAGGTACAGACACAGGTACAGACACTGATACAGACACAGGTACAGACACAGGTACAGACACAGGTACAGACACTGATACAAACACAGGTACACACACAGGTACAGACACTGATACAAACACAGGTACAGACACATGTACAGACACATATACAGACACATATGCAGACACATATACAGACACATGTACAGACACTGGTACAGACACTGGTACAGACACATATACAGACACTGGTACAGACACTGGTACAGACACTGGTACAGACACTGGTACAGACACTGGTACAGACACTGGTACAGACACTGGTACAGACACTGGTACAGACACTGGTACAGACACAGGTACAGATACAGACACAGGTACAGACACATGTACACACAGGTACAGACATTGATACAGACACAGGTACAGACACAGGTACAGACACAGGTACAGACACAGGTACAGACACAGGTACAGACACAGGTACAGACACTGATACAGACACAGGTACAGACACAGGTACAGACACTGATACAGACACTGGTACAGACACAGGTACACACACACAGGTACAGACACTGGTACAGACACAGGTACACACACAGGTACAGACACTGATACAGACACTGGTACAGACACAGGTACACACACACAGGTACAGACACAGGTACAGACACAGGTACAGACACAGGTACAGACACAGGTACAGACACTGATACAGACACAGGTACACACACAGGTACAGACACTGGTACAGACACAGGTACACACACACAGGTACAGACACAGGTACAGACACAGGTACAGACACAGGTACAGACACTGGTACAGACACTGGTACAGACACAGGTACAGACACTGATACAGACACAGGTACAGACACAGGTACAGACACTGATACAGACACTGGTACAGACACTGGTACAGACACTGGTACAGACACTGGTACAGACACAGGTACAGACACAGGTACAGACACTGATACAGACACAGGTACAGACACAGGTACAGACACAGGTACAGACACAGGTACAGACACAAGTACAGACACAGGTACAGACACAGGTACAGACACTGATACAAACACTGATACAGACACTGGTACAGACACAGGTACAGACACTGGTACAGACACAGGTACAGACACTGATACAGACACAGGTACAGACACAGGTACAGACACAGGTACAGACACAGGTACAGACACTGGTACAGACACAGGTACAGACACTGATACAGACACAGGTACAGACACAGGTACAGACACAGGTACAGACACTAGTACAGACACTGATACAGGACACTGGTACAGACACTAGTACAGACACTGATACAGACACAGGTACACACACAGGTACAGACACAGGTACAGACACAGGTACAGACACAGGTACAGACACTGATACAGACACAGGTACAGACACAGGTACAGACACAGGTACAGACACTGGTACAGACACAGACACAGGTACAGACACAGGTACAGACACAGGTACAGACACTGGTACAGACACAGACACAGGTACAGACACTGGTACAGACACTGATACAGACACTGGTACAGACACTGATACAGACACAGGTACAGACACTGATACAGACACAGGTACAGACACAGGTACAGACACAGGTACAGACACAGGTACAGACACTGATACAGACACTGGTACAGACACTGCTGCTGATTAGAAAGATAAATGTTCTGAGATAATGACCTCCTGCTTTGATCAAAGACTAACGGCTTCTGTGGGTTTGGAACCACACGGACACATGGACTCACAGTGAGGCTGTAGACCCAGGACTGAGGCTGTAGACCCAGGACTGAGGCTGTAGACCCAGGACTGAGGCTGTAGACCCAGGACTGAGGTTGTAGGCCCAGGACTGAGGCTGTAGACCCAGGACTGAGGCTGTAGACCCAGGACTGAGGCTGTAGACCCAGGACTGAGGCTGTAGACCCAGGACTGAGGCTGTAGACCCAGGACTGAGGCTGTAGACCCAGGACTGAGGCTGTAGACCCAGGACTGAGGCTGCAGACCCAGGACTGAGGCTGTAGACCCAGGACTGAGGCTGTAGACCCAGGTCTGAGGCTGTAGACCCAGGACTGAGGCTGTAGACCCAGGACTGAGGTTGTAGGCCCAGGACTGAGGCTGTAGACCCAGGACTGAGGCTGTAGACCCAGGACTGAGGCTGTAGACCCAGGACTGAGGCTGTAGACCCAGGACTGAGGCTGCAGACCCAGGACTGAGGCTGTAGACCCAGGACTGAGGCTGCAGACCCAGGACTGAGGCTGTAGACCCAGGACTGAGGCTGTAGACCCAGGACTGAGGCTGTAGACCCAGGACTGAGGCTGTAGACCCAGGACTGAGGCTGCAGACCCAGGACTGAGGCTGTAGACCCAGGACTGAGGCTGTAGACCCAGGACTGAGGCTGTAGACCCAGGACTGAGGCTGTAGACCCAGGACTGAGGCTGCAGACCCAGGACTGAGGCTGTAGACCCAGGACTGAGGCTGTAGACCCAGGACTGAGGCTGTAGACCCAGGACTGAGGCTGTAGACCCAGGACTGAGGCTGTAGACCCAGGTCTGAGGCTGCAGACCCAGGACTGAGGCTGTAGGCCCAGGACTGAGGCTGTAGACCCAGGACTGAGGCTGTAGACCCAGGACTGAGGCTGTAGACCCAGGACTGAGGCTGTAGACCCAGGACTGAGGCTGTAGACCCAGGACTGAGGCTGTAGACCCAGGACTGAGGCTGCAGACCCAGGACTGAGGCTGTAGACCCAGGACTGAGGCTGTAGACCCAGGACTGAGGCTGTAGACCCAGGACTGAGGCTGTAGACCCAGGTCTGAGGCTGCAGACCCAGGACTGAGGCTGTAGACCCAGGACTGAGGCTGTAGACCCAGGACTGAGGCTGCAGACCCAGGACTGAGGCTGTAGACCCAGGACTGAGGCTGTAGACCCAGGACTGAGGTTGTAGGCCCAGGACTGAGGCTGTAGACCCAGGACTGAGGCTGTAGACCCAGGACTGAGGCTGTAGACCCAGGACTGAGGCTGTAGACCCAGGACTGAGGCTGTAGACCCAGGACTGAGGCTGCAGACCCAGGACTGAGGCTGCAGACCCAGGACTGAGGCTGTAGACCCAGGACTGAGGCTGTAGACCCAGGACTGAGGCTGTAGACCCAGGACTGAGGCTGTAGACCCAGGACTGAGGCTGCAGACCCAGGACTGAGGCTGTAGACCCAGGACTGAGGCTGTAGATCCAGGACTGAGGCTGTAGACCCAGGACTGAGGCTGTAGACCCAGGACTGAGGTTGTAGGCCCAGGACTGAGGCTGTAGACCCAGGACTGAGGCTGTAGACCCAGGACTGAGGCTGTAGACCCAGGACTGAGGCTGTAGACCCAGGACTGAGGTTGTAGGCCCAGGACTGAGGCTGTAGACCCAGGACTGAGGCTGTAGACCCAGGACTGAGGCTGTAGACCCAGGACTGAGGCTGTAGACCCAGGACTGAGGCTGCAGACCCAGGACTGAGGCTGTAGACCCAGGACTGAGGCTGTAGACCCAGGTCTGAGGCTGTAGACCCAGGACTGAGGCTGTAGACCCAGGACTGAGGTTGTAGGCCCAGGACTGAGGCTGTAGACCCAGGACTGAGGCTGTAGACCCAGGACTGAGGCTGTAGACCCAGGACTGAGGCTGTAGACCCAGGACTGAGGCTGCAGACCCAGGACTGAGGCTGTAGACCCAGGACTGAGGCTGCAGACCCAGGACTGAGGCTGTAGACCCAGGACTGAGGCTGTAGACCCAGGACTGAGGCTGTAGACCCAGGACTGAGGCTGCAGACCCAGGACTGAGGCTGCAGACCCAGGACTGAGGCTGTAGACCCAGGACTGAGGCTGTAGACCCAGGACTGAGGCTGTAGACCCAGGACTGAGGCTGTAGACCCAGGACTGAGGCTGTAGACCCAGGACTGAGGCTGCAGACCCAGGACTGAGGCTGTAGACCAGGACTGAGGCTGTAGACCCAGGACTGAGGCTGTAGACCCAGGTCTGAGGCTGCAGACCCAGGACTGAGGCTGTAGACCCAGGACTGAGGCTGTAGACCCAGGACTGAGGCTGCAGACCCAGGACTGAGGCTGTAGACCCAGGACTGAGGCTGTAGACCCAGGACTGAGGCTGTAGACCCAGGACTGAGGCTGTAGACCCAGGACTGAGGCTGTAGACCCAGGTCTGAGGCTGCAGACCCAGGACTGAGGCTGTAGGCCCAGGACTGAGGCTGTAGACCCAGGACTGAGGCTGTAGACCCAGGACTGAGGCTGTAGACCCAGGACTGAGGCTGTAGACCCAGGACTGAGGCTGTAGACCCAGGACTGAGGCTGTAGACCCAGGTCTGAGGCTGCAGACCCAGGACTGAGGCTGTAGACCCAGGACTGAGGCTGTAGACCCAGGACTGAGGCTGTAGACCCAGGACTGAGGCTGTAGACCCAGGTCTGAGGCTGCAGACCCAGGACTGAGGCTGTAGACCCAGGACTGAGGCTGTAGACCCAGGACTGAGGCTGCAGACCCAGGACTGAGGCTGTAGACCCAGGACTGAGGCTGTAGACCCAGGACTGAGGTTGTAGGCCCAGGACTGAGGCTGTAGACCCAGGACTGAGGCTGTAGACCCAGGACTGAGGCTGTAGACCCAGGACTGAGGCTGCAGACCCAGGACTGAGGCTGCAGACCCAGGACTGAGGCTGCAGACCCAGGACTGAGGCTGCAGACCCAGGACTGAGGCTGTAGACCCAGGACTGAGGCTGTAGACCCAGGACTGAGGCTGCAGACCCAGGACTGAGGCTGTAGACCCAGGACTGAGGCTGTAGACCCAGGACTGAGGCTGTAGACCCAGGACTGAGGCTGTAGACCCAGGACTGAGGCTGCAGACCCAGGACTGAGGCTGTAGACCCAGGACTGAGGCTGTAGACCCAGGACTGAGGCTGTAGACCCAGGACTGAGGCTGCAGACCCAGGACTGAGGCTGTAGACCCAGGACTGAGGCTGTAGACCCAGGACTGAGGCTGTAGACCCAGGACTGAGGCTGTAGACCCAGGACTGAGGCTGTAGACCCAGGACTGAGGCTGTAGACCCAGGACTGAGGCTGTAGACCCAGGACTGAGGCTGTAGACCCAGGACTGAGGCTGTAGACCCAGGACTGAGGCTGTAGACCCAGGACTGAGGCTGTAGATCCAGGACTGAGGCTGTAGACCCAGGACTGAGGCTGTAGACCCAGGACTGAGGCTATAGACCCAGGACTGAGGCTGTAGATCCAGGACTGAGGCTGTAGATCCAGGACTGAGACTGTAGACCCAGGACTGAGGCTGTAGACCCAGGACTGAGGCTGTAGATCCAGGACTGAGGCTGTAGACCCAGGACTGAGGCTGTAGACCCAGGACTGAGGCTATAGACCCAGGACTGAGGCTGTAGACCCAGGACTGAGGCTGTAGACCCAGGACTGAGGCTGTAGACCCAGGACTGAGGCTGTAGACCCAGGACTGAGGCTGTAGACCCAGGACTGAGGCTGTAGACCCAGGAGGATGGGCCCGAGTCCAAGTGTCCGTGTGTAATGCTTGCCGCTCTCCTTCTGTGTGTGGTGTTGGTGCATGTGTCCGCTGCCCCCCCCTGCTGGCGATGCTTTGCGCTGCAGCTGAACCTAATCCACAGTGAGGTCAGTAACCTGGCGGGCTTCGATGTGGAGGGAGTGATAAATCCCACCAACGCAGAGCTGGAGCTGAAGGACGACCTCGGTGAGACCGCCGCACACTCGCAGGCTCCGAGGGGAATCCTGGTGGCGGGAAACGGAATTACAACCACAGAGGACATGAATAAAGAGACTAAAAACAATCTGACTAGGATTGAAACATGAGCTGGAGCCAATTCCTTATTTGGGCATTTGTTCTGACGTTGATCTAAAACCTAGAGCTCTGACTGCAGACGCTGCTCCCTCTTCACCACAACATATCAGGCCTTTTCTCTGGTCTTTAATCTGTCTCTGTGTCCTCTGCATAAATCATGTTGGACGTTCCACCCTCCGGGATTCCCTGTGATACCGGGATTCCCTGTGATACCGGGATTCCCTGTGATACCAGGATTCCCTGTGAGCCTCAAACCTCGCTCTAAGGTGTTGGGTTCAGACCCTGGTCTTAAATGTCTTTAAACAAACCACACGGACGGACTCGAGTATCGAGGCCTGTGATTGGTCGGTGGTGTTCCAAGTCCCTCCGTGCTGGTCGGTGTCCTGCCCGTGAACATGTGTCTTCTTCATGTGTCCTCCATGTTGTTGTCGCCATAGTTACTGTTGTTGTTGTTGTCGCCATAGTTACAAGTTGTGAAAGCGGACATTTCCAGTGTCGACAGCGACGCAGTGATCCACCCCACTAACTCCTCCCTGTTCACGGGAGGGGAAGTAGGTAAAGATCACAGGTACAGAGCACAGGTACACGGGAGGGGAAGTAGGTAAAGATCACAGGTACAGAGCACAGGTACACGGGAGGGGAAGTAGGTAAAGATCACAGGTACAGAGCACAGGTACACGGGAGGGGAAGTAGGTAAAGATCACAGGTACAGAGCACAGGTACACGGGAGGGGAAGTAGGTAAAGATCACAGGTACAGAGCACAGGTACACGGGAGGGGAAGTAGGTAAAGATCACAGGTACAGAGCACAGGTACACGGGAGGGGAAGTAGGTAAAGATCACAGGTACAGAGCACAGGTACACGGGAGGGGAAGTAGGTAAAGATCACAGGTACAGAGCACAGGTACACGGGAGGGGAAGTAGGTAAAGATCACAGGTACAGAGCACAGGTACACGGGAGGGGAAGTAGGTAAAGATCACAGGTACAGAGCACAGGTACACGGGAGGGGAAGTAGGTAAAGATCACAGGTACAGAGCACAGGTACACGGGAGGGGAAGTAGGTAAAGATCACAGGTACAGAGCACAGGTACACGGGAGGGGAAGTAGGTAAAGATCACAGGTACAGATCACAGGTACACGGGAGGGGAAGTAGGTAAAGATCACAGGTACAGAGCACAGGTACACGGGAGGGGAAGTAGGTAAAGATCACAGGTACAGATCACAGGTACACGGGAGGGGAAGTAGGTAAAGATCACAGGTACACGGGAGGGGAAGTAGGTAAAGATCACAGGTACAGAGCACAGGTACACGGGAGGGGAAGTAGGTACAGAGCACAGGTACACGGGAGGGGAAGTAGGTAAAGATCACAGGTACAGAGCACAGGTACACGGGAGGGGAAGTAGGTAAAGATCACAGGTACAGAGCACAGGTACACGGGAGGGGAAGTAGGTAAAGATCACAGGTACAGAGCACAGGTACACGGGAGGGGAAGTAGGTAAAGATCACAGGTACAGAGCACAGGTACACGGGAGGGGAAGTAGGTAAAGATCACAGGTACAGAGCACAGGTACACGGGAGGGGAAGTAGGTAAAGATCACAGGTACAGAGCACAGGTACACGGGAGGGGAAGTAGGTAAAGATCACAGGTACAGAGCACAGGTACACGGGAGGGGAAGTAGGTAAAGATCACAGGTACAGATCACAGGTACACGGGAGGGGAAGTAGGTAAAGATCACAGGTACAGAGCACAGGTACACGGGAGGGGAAGTAGGTAAAGATCACAGGTACAGATCACAGGTACACGGGAGGGGAAGTAGGTAAAGATCACAGGTACACGGGAGGGGAAGTAGGTAAAGATCACAGGTACAGAGCACAGGTACACGGGAGGGGAAGTAGGTACAGAGCACAGGTACACGGGAGGGGAAGTAGGTAAAGATCACAGGTACAGAGCACAGGTACACGGGAGGGGAAGTAGGTAAAGATCACAGGTACAGAGCACAGGTACACGGGAGGGGAAGTAGGTAAAGATCACAGGTACAGAGCACAGGTACACGGGAGGGGAAGTAGGTAAAGATCACAGGTACAGAGCACAGGTACACGGGAGGGGAAGTAGGTAAAGATCACAGGTACAGAGCACAGGTACACAGGAGGGGAAGTAGGTAAAGATCACAGGTACAGAGCACAGGTACACGGGAGGGGAAGTAGGTAAAGATCACAGGTACAGAGCACAGGTACACAGGAGGGGAAGTAGGTAAAGATCACAGGTACAGAGCACAGGTACACGGGAGGGGAAGTAGGTAAAGATCACAGGTACAGAGCACAGGTACACGGGAGGGGAAGTAGGTAAAGATCACAGGTACAGAGCACAGGTACACGGGAGGGGAAGTAGGTAAAGATCACAGGTACAGAGCACAGGTACACGGGAGGGGAAGTAGGTAAAGATCACAGGTACAGAGCACAGGTACACGGGAGGGGAAGTAGGTAAAGATCACAGGTACAGAGCACAGGTACACGGGAGGGGAAGTAGGTAAAGATCACAGGTACAGAGCACAGGTACACGGGAGGGGAAGTAGGTAAAGATCACAGGTACAGATCACAGGTACACGGGAGGGGAAGTAGGTAAAGATCACAGGTACACGGGAGGGGAAGTAGGTAAAGATCACAGGTACAGAGCACAGGTACACGGGAGGGGAAGTAGGTACAGAGCACAGGTACACGGGAGGGGAAGTAGGTAAAGATCACAGGTACAGAGCACAGGTACACGGGAGGGGAAGTAGGTAAAGATCACAGGTACAGAGCACAGGTACACGGGAGGGGAAGTAGGTAAAGATCACAGGTACAGAGCACAGGTACACGGGAGGGGAAGTAGGTAAAGATCACAGGTACAGAGCACAGGTACACGGGAGGGGAAGTAGGTAAAGATCACAGGTACAGAGCACAGGTACACAGGAGGGGAAGTAGGTAAAGATCACAGGTACAGAGCACAGGTACACGGGAGGGGAAGTAGGTAAAGATCACAGGTACACAGGAGGGGAAGTAGGTAAAGATCACAGGTACAGAGCACAGGTACACGGGAGGGGAAGTAGGTAAAGATCACAGGTACAGAGCACAGGTACACGGGAGGGGAAGTAGGTAAAGATCACAGGTACAGAGCACAGGTACACGGGAGGGGAAGTAGGTAAAGATCACAGGTACAGAGCACAGGTACACGGGAGGGGAAGTAGGTAAAGATCACAGGTACAGAGCACAGGTACACGGGAGGGGAAGTAGGTAAAGATCACAGGTACAGAGCACAGGTACACGGGAGGGGAAGTAGGTAAAGATCACAGGTACAGAGCACAGGTACACGGGAGGGGAAGTAGGTAAAGATCACAGGTACAGAGCACAGGTACACGGGAGGGGAAGTAGGTAAAGATCACAGGTACAGAGCACAGGTACACGGGAGGGGAAGTAGGTAAAGATCACAGGTACAGAGCACAGGTACACGGGAGGGGAAGTAGGTAAAGATCACAGGTACAGAGCACAGGTACACGGGAGGGGAAGTAGGTAAAGATCACAGGTACAGAGCACAGGTACACGGGAGGGGAAGTAGGTAAAGATCACAGGTACAGAGCACAGGTACACGGGAGGGGAAGTAGGTAAAGATCACAGGTACAGAGCACAGGTACACGGGAGGGGAAGTAGGTAAAGATCACAGGTACAGAGCACAGGTACACGGGAGGGGAAGTAGGTAAAGATCACAGGTACAGAGCACAGGTACACGGGAGGGGAAGTAGGTAAAGATCACAGGTACAGAGCACAGGTACACGGGAGGGAAGGGGAAGCAGGTAAAGATCACAGGTACAGAGCACAGGTACACGGGAGGGGAAGTAGGTAAAGATCACAGGTACAGAGCACAGGTACACGGGAGGGGAAGTAGGTAAAGATCACAGGTACAGAGCACAGGTACACGGGAGGGGAAGTAGGTAAAGATCACAGGTACAGAGCACAGGTACACGGGAGGGGAAGTAGGTAAAGATCACAGGTACAGAGCACAGGTACACGGGAGGGGAAGTAGGTAAAGATCACAGGTACAGAGCACAGGTACACGGGAGGGGAAGTAGGTAAAGATCACAGGTACAGAGCACAGGTACACGGGAGGGGAAGTAGGTAAAGATCACAGGTACAGAGCACAGGTACACGGGAGGGGAAGTAGGTAAAGATCACAGGTACAGAGCACAGGTACACGGGAGGGGAAGTAGGTAAAGATCACAGGTACAGAGCACAGGTACACGGGAGGGGAAGTAGGTAAAGATCACAGGTACAGAGCACAGGTACACGGGAGGGGAAGTAGGTAAAGATCACAGGTACAGATCACAGGTACACGGGAGGGGAAGTAGGTAAAGATCACAGGTACAGAGCACAGGTACACGGGAGGGGAAGTAGGTAAAGATCACAGGTACAGATCACAGGTACACGGGAGGGGAAGTAGGTAAAGATCACAGGTACAGAGCACAGGTACACGGGAGGGGAAGTAGGTACAGAGCACAGGTACACGGGAGGGGAAGTAGGTAAAGATCACAGGTACAGAGCACAGGTACACGGGAGGGGAAGTAGGTAAAGATCACAGGTACAGAGCACAGGTACACGGGAGGGGAAGTAGGTAAAGATCACAGGTACAGAGCACAGGTACACGGGAGGGGAAGTAGGTAAAGATCACAGGTACAGAGCACAGGTACACGGGAGGGGAAGTAGGTAAAGATCACAGGTACAGAGCACAGGTACACGGGAGGGGAAGTAGGTAAAGATCACAGGTACACGGGAGGGGAAGTAGGTAAAGATCACAGGTACACGGGAGGGGAAGTAGGTAAAGATCACAGGTACAGAGCACAGGTACACGGGAGGGGAAGTAGGTAAAGATCACAGGTACAGAGCACAGGTACACGGGAGGGGACCTAGGTAAAGATCACAGGTACAGATCACAGGTACACGGGAGGGGAAGTAGGTAAAGATCACAGGTACACAGGAGGGGAAGTAGGTAAAGATCACAGGTACACGGGAGGGGAAGTAGGTAAAGATCACAGGTACACAGGAGGGGAAGTAGGTAAAGATCACAGGTACAGAGCACAGGTACACGGGAGGGGGCATAGGTAAAGATCACAGGTACAGATCACAGGTACACGGCAGGGGAAGTAGGTAAAGATCACAGGTACACAGGAGGGGAAGTAGGTAAAGATCAGAGGTACAGAGCACAGGTACACAGGAGGGGAAGTAGGTCATGGCCTGGTTACGGTGATGGGAGACCTCAGGGAACACCGGGGGCCACATTGGGGCGGCTGAACCAGACCCGGTCCAGTTCCAGACTTTCATCATTTACTGTAAACACAACCAGAGAATCATTTCTTCACACAGAACCTTTCACTGAACTTACAGCTCTGCTTTAGGGTAGGGCAGAGTAGGGTAGGGCAGAGTAGAGTAGAGTAGGGCAGAGTAGAGTAGAGTAGGGCAGAGTAGAGTAGAGTAGGGCAGAGTAGAGTAGAGTAGAGTAGAGTAGGGCAGAGTAGGGCAGGGTAGAG